AAATTTGACGTCACTTTAAAAAATATTGTTGTTTTGACTGTCTTTAACTTGAGGATAACTGCACAAAGCAGTAACTTATCCGAAATTCTCTTTCTACTATTATTCAAACTTACATCCACATTGTGTAAATACTAGGAGTCTCCGATTTTGCCCACTATTCAGATTTAACCGAAAACTATCCTTTGTTCTCTCGTCTTATTTCTTATGTTGCAGCCTTGAGTATGTACTCACAAAAGTTGAGAGTTACATCGCCCTTCCATATCTTGATTATCGACTTCAATAGGGTTAAAATCTTGAAGTTGCTTACTCTTATTCATTTTTCTACTCAACACAGGGGAGGGCACAAGAAGTAATAAAATGATATTATGCTCTAGCGATAGTTCTTTTAGGTTAATCCAAAGCCATTTGTTGCACATTAACATCACGAAGCATTAAGAGTCAGTCTTATCTTTTAAGAAATAACGTTAATAAAAATCCAAGCCACTATTTCGTCTGACGTACGAGTAATGTTTTTCTGCTTCCGAATGAACAGGGTAAAGATAATTTAGCGTTACTGTCATGAATAGAATATCACGTCCTTAAAATGAATGAAATACAGTGTAATTAGCTATATCTGATTGCTGAACCAAAACAAGACAACGAACAATGGCAAGTGCATCCGTTTATTCAACAATTACGACAAGCTCATTCACTGGTAGAAAAACACTGACGAGGTGTCAATTACAACTGTCTAAACTTTAACGATAAGAGTAAATCTCTCAATATTTTCGTTGAACATTCCTGTTAACTCTATATTCCATTCACAAAATGCAGATCCCACACGATAAAACCATAAACATTCAAGATATGGTTACATTTTGGTCGGAAAATGGAATGCGGGCACGACCAGGAAAGGTAGACGGTTCAACACCTTACATACGCTGACAATTTCCAATCGAATTATTGAGAGACGATTAGCCTGAATGTGATGATATGCCTTCTCTTTTTGCTGAACTCAGGGAACCTGCGCTGAAGATGAGTATTTCAACGGCTTTTAACCGGTTATCTCTTAAAAATTCTGTGTCATCAGCTGGAAACGTCTGCACGGACAGGAGACACCTTTCGTAAGGTGATTCCTATAAATATGCATAGCACGATGGAAATTCTGTTTGTGGCATGTTTTTGATCACATGGAGAAATCATAAACCATTAACTCCGAATTCCATCTTTGGATCGTGATATCAGGCTATAGATGAAGCAGCCTATTTCGGTGGCAAATAAACTAAAGGTAGCCGTAGTGAAGGTTAATTCAGTTTTTTTTTACATCGAACAGGTAATTATTCAGCGTTTTAACGATCCGGGCTATAACTAAAACCTTTTTTTAAGTTTGGGAAAAGATTTTCACCATAACTTTATTGTCTCGTAAAGATCAAATTTCATTCTAGAAATAAGTCTATTCACAACTGGGGTATATCTGAAACGGCAACAACATTTCTGAATGAAGAAGTTGTCTAGTATTCAAGTGTAGCTTATACAGTAGATAGAATCAGGTTTAAACTGACAACCGTTTGGATTCGCAACAGCTCATTTATTGGGAAAGTGTTCAAATAACTTAAAAAGAGGTACAGAATGGGACTCAGTATACCTAATAAGTACTAGGACAACATTTTGTTAGGGTTCGGGTAAAGCAGAAACTGGTAATAAGCTAAAACATGAACTTCTGTGTCAATTTAGGGAATGTATGCAGTTCAAACGATGAGGAGTTGATTCAAAGAAATCATATGGTGTGATAATGGCAGTTAACTTGCAACAAGTAAAAATGGTTGTTGATGTCAAATAACCATTATATCTACCGTTGTTTTGCATAAAATGTTCAAAACCTTGTGTTTGAAAAGAGAATCTCGTTCACTAACTGCTTTGTTCCATGACTTGAATGTAGACTTACTCTAACCAATAGTTTGGTTTCTTCCATAAATAAAAACTGTAGTAACTACCAGCAATTACATTTCACTTGAAGCCTCATCCTCGAGCATTTAAGAATATTCATTGTTCATCTTTATACCTTAGTCCAACCCCATTCAAATTATATTATGTATCTTCGAATTCTCAAGCTATTTAAATTTGTTGGAATAAACAAATATTAGTTGTCAAGTTGTAGTGATTAAAATTTCTAGCTTTTTACTCGTCAGCCGTTGATAAAGTCATATAGAAATTAACACAAGTGGATGACCTAAATGAGGTCGAAATGTCTGATTCTATGACGAGCTCATATGAGTCATTGTCGCTTCTAAAGGAACCAATTTATTTGTATTTTTACCTTAAAAATTCCTCGTTTCGTATTCCCGTTTGTTACGGATGCGTGTGTTTATACAGCCGCTGTCATAAAAGTCCGATCCACTGCCTTCTCGTGTTGTTTATGAAGTTTAGAGGACGAAAAGCGAATGTCCGGTGCTTTAACCGGGCTGGTGGACACGGGGGTCCACTTAGAGGAGTTGAAAAACCCTGATTACAAACCGGTGGTGAACATCGGCTCCAGTATTTTGAAGGAACAAATTGTGTATGAACCAATTGTCGGTCACGGGCTACCATGGGACTACACCTCCTAACGTTGGTCCACCTATGTGTTGAGTATTGAACCTTTGTGTCAAAGGCTCGGTGAGTGGTCTTTCTAAGAAAACCACCTGCTTCGGTTTAGACATGCGGGCAGTATCCTAGCCCTCGCAAAGATCGAATGATTTATGTGGCGCATATATATTTGGTGCTTCATTGTACTAATGTTTATGTGTTCAGATGAATAAATAAATTACCCTACACACCACATCCTTGTAGCTCACCTTTGTCTGATTAAATATCACGTCACGCTTTATCGAATAAAGGTGAAATGCTTGATTTTTCCGCTTTCCTCTTATTTCTTGTTTTTCATTCTGAATATCTGAATATCTTAATGAGTGCACAAAATATATTTACTTAAAATTCATTCTCAAGTTTAACTTGTTTGGTTCCATTATTCATTTATGTAATATATACGTTGGTAGCTGGAATATATATATATATATATATATATATATATATATATATATATATATATCAACAACGTTATCGACCATGTCGTCATTGCACTAGCGGATTACTACTCCTTCCTTAAATATTTTATCGAGCCTCCTTCTCAGTCTCCACGTTTCGATAAAAATGAGCACTTTTCTCACTGTACAGATGGGATTTCATTCCTTTCCTTGTTTTTGAATTTTATCATAAACGTTTTAATCAAGATAACACCGGAAGATTTATTTTACCAAAAATGTTAGCGTCTGGTAATTTAATGCCCTTTCATTCAAGCATAGATGAGGCGCACTTACTAACTAAGAAAGCATTGTCCACAAAACCACCCTTCTCTTTCCTTGACATAATATTAACTTGTGATGAAGAGGAGTGTTTGAATTATAGTACGAATTAAAAATTCCAGAAATAACACAATTTCATCAAGAAGACCTATATGAGCAGGAATGAACGTATTGTATTTGGAATTCAAAATCAAACAGTCACCAAATACAAAGTAATCATTAGTTCATACAAACCTCATATCCGTCTAAGTTTCTGTAATCGATTGTACGTCTTCACCTTGTGTTCATTCTGTGTCTGATCGACAGTGTATTGGATGTAGACTCTGTATGATCTAGAATGTACACATTAGTATTAAAATTAACAGCTGCAGGGGGGACGGTATAATCTGAATCCTGGAATTGTATACAATCACTATGTCGACTGTGTGCTAAACCCAGAGATATCTAGAATTCGAACCGTATATATTCGGACACTATCCTCTCGCACGAAATAATGTTGGGTCTTTATGTCCTCAAGCTATGAATAAAGTGGCTTTATTTAAAACATATTTCTCACATCGACTAGAGTATTCATTATAAGTGACCTCATGATAAAGATAGATAACAAATGATATAAAATCATCCGAATTGTAATCAAAGTCGAACTCATTTTGTGCTTCCTAGTGAACAAGTTTCTCGCAAGAAGAAAATGCATTATGAGGATAAATAACATAAGATTTGACATCAAGATCTGATTCTTTTGAAATATTTTTCTGAAAATTATTAAGAATGTCATTAAAGAGTAATGGACCATTACAAAAGTCAGCACTTATCAAAACTGTATCAGATTTTCAAGCATGATTTGATCCATTCAACATATTCTCCTCAGGTGAATAAGAAATTTCATCAAAAATATGTGAATAGTTAGGACAAACCATACTTGGTACAATGACATGAGAAACCCGATATAAAGTTGATTGACTAGAAGCTTTTGATTTACAATGATTCTAAGTTTCGTTTGACTATGAACTGCTATATGATTCGATACTGTTTTCCGAAGTCGTGGGTAAAGATAAATGATCACTAGAAACACTCGACCCAAAATTACTAGTTGCAGCAAAATGAACAGTAGTATTACGAACTGGTAGATGTGTCGAATCTCACCACATTAAAAGCATTTAGAATTACGAAATAAGTGAGTGAAACTTGCCACAGGACAAATACCAAACTTGTACCCATCTTCATGACCTGCACCACATTTCCCCGGTGAATTATCTACATAACCTTGAGTGCGCATGGATTGAAATTACGTAGTAATGTAGTAGAATATTTGATGTCCTGATGGATCGTTTTACGAGATTTTCCTCCTTTACGTAGTCTAGTAGTGATTTCTTGAGAGTTGCACAAGGGAGTGAGATCTGCTTGTCTAGAAATACCAAAGATTTTATTAAGCTGTATGCTTGCTTTCCGGTTAACGTAAGGAAATGGTTTTGGTTTTATAATCCTTGTAATTGTCACAAATCCGAAGTGATTTTTGGGTTGTTTATCTGTCTAAGTGAATTAGGAGTTTTGTGGCCTTAAATCTGACTCCATTCGGATTGCATGAATGATTGTCATCGAAATACACATGTCGGCTATCCTCGTATATAATCATTGACTTAATCAATGTTAGTGAATAATGGAAACAAATAAGTCAAATATGATAATGGCTTTTGAATATGTATATTTCATGCACGCATTGGTTTGAACAGGAAATCAAGGAGACGAAACAAAGAGGGAAGCAGATTGAAAAAGACAAGTGAGACATAAATACCCAAACAAAATTCCGTTACAGATACATAATGAATAGAGTAAGTAATTAACACATATAGTCACATAAAGATAGGCTAAATAAGCTAAGGGAAAGGTTAAAATGCGGCTTGAAAAGAATGAATAGATTGGTTTGTTTAGAAAGTAGAATAGCCCAAGTAAACAGCGATGTATTTGTGAACGATAATCAGTGGGTCATGTTTTGTGTTCACAAATCAGAAAAATAAAGGGTCACGTTTCTTAAACGACAATTTTACAGGTAATAGTGGTGATTGTACATATTGAAGTAATTGATGAAAAGTGCAAATATTACCAAAACTAATTACAAAAAAACTACTTTATCTAACCCCTACAGAAGAAATTTGAGTGTTCCATGAAGCAATAGACTTGCTTCCATACAATATCGACACATCATGTTGTCAAAACAGTATCACTTTGGTCTCAACTGACATCATACATAAAGCAATCCTCAGTTGACTAAAAAAGGCAGTGACAAATCTGCTTAACTTTTCGGTAGTTTAGTGTCAATTTTACTAACAACTAGACAGTCACTAATCTAAGTATGCAGCTGATTAATGGGATTGTGCTTAAAAGCATGCAGTTAAACCTATAGTATGAAATGTATGGTAGCCTAACTCGGAGAACGAACTAACTTATTGAAAAGTTGTCTTCCCCGTGAAAATGAACTTTCAGTGACCACTTTAGCTTGCTGAATGGAAAGAACTACCAGTATATGCACAACCTTCCTAAAAACTAAGAGCTTCTTTGCCAATAGCAGTTACGAAATGAACCGAATGGCTATCGTCCTCAGAACTGTGATAAGCGTTATGGTAAAAATATTGTTTTCGTTTCCGTCAGCGATGCGCTGGTAGGTACCTTCCCACAACTATTAGAATTAATGATTATAGTGACACCTGTTACGAGTTCTAACAATGTTGCGAACTAGTAACAGTCACAACAGAAATACACTTTTGCGACAACCGGAATTCTTAGGCTTTCAAAGCCAAAAACGCAAAACAAGATAGGAATGACGAATATCGTCAAAATAACGGACAGACTGAATCATAATCTTGGATAAAAACAAACATCCGCAGTTCAAATGACGAGCTGATCATAGTTTGAACAACAATTGAAATATGAAAGGACTAGATGGTCATTTCGTGCTAGAAAGACTCTTCACTAGCGCTCATTCACAAACAGCGATATGTCTAAGATTAGTTTCTCAACAAACATCATAAATCAGTAGAAAAAACGATAATCATAACAACAGATACAACTAGGTTACGAAGATTAGTCAGTTTTGTGAGCATTCAGCATGCTAGTGTTTCAGGTAGCTGGACAATCAAGTTTCAACCTAGATTTAGACGCAATTCTTACTGTAACTGTATATTCCAGTTACAGGTAACTTCCTTACACGTACCAAATGTTGTCTACAATTTAAATACCGTTCTCTCGAAATGCTACAACGGGAGAGACTAGTGTTATCCAGCTCTTTTGTGAATGTATACTGGCTCAAGAGAAGCAAGGCATAACGCGACGCTCGACCCAGACGGTATTGCAACAGTCCCGCATATTCCTTTCAACATCCATATATTTTTACTCGCATCGTACAAACAGACTACACATGTGGTCAAGAAATTCAAAATATTGATGCTGAGCTCTGACTGCAAAATTTCAATGGAGATCAGGTGAATCCCAGTGCTCTGCACTCAAATATCCTTGCCCACTAAAAGGAAAAATATAAACTTTTGTCCCTTCATATAACAGAATTTAAGTGTCCATGTACTCGCAATAAGATTGGTGGCTTATAATTATGGTCATTAGTATCTTGATATGACCTAACAACTACACACCGAAAGCCAACTATAACTAAGAGGTTATTATGAATTTTACATTTACATTTACTAAACTAGAATTTACCCTGAACTTTAGTTGAGACATTTCGACCTAAAAATTAGGGTAAAATTTAACAAACAAGCAGAAGTGTCTATTACCTCAAATCGAACAAATATCGTGACAATCGACTTACATTTGTTGCTTGTCTGAATATCTCTGCTTCAGTTTGGTTATATACGCGTAAAAGATAATTCAGTCCGAAGACATTATGAGAAAGCTTAACTTATAGTGATTAAATCTCGATTTACTTTGATGTAGGTAATGTATGGATACTACTACCTAAACGCCTCTGAAAACTTTCAAAAGTTACTGCCGCTGTCAATTTAGACTGAAGGATTAAGTTTGGAAGCCAGTTTAGTAAGTTCACTTTGTGAAACCTAGCTATGAGAAAACTAACCAGAAAGGACCACTAGAATTGTTGTGTGGAAATTGAGGGGTCTTCCATTAGTTGAGTTATGACACTTCATGGCACTGAGCAAGACTCTTCGTAAGCCACAAGCCTAACGACCAAAGCAACAGTTAGTGTCGGCACGTGAATTGTACGAACGTGGGTTTCATAGTGATCTAAATAAGAGTGTAGATAATAGTACTTTGGTACATACGAACTAAGTGAAAGTGTTTGGACGCAATCTAGACAAAAAGGAGTTGCATTAATGCTTCCAATGGAAGCGTAAAACGAATTGATGGAACTGGAAACTCTCAGCTTTAGTATTGCTTTGCTGAGAAAAAGAAAAGGTGTAAGACCCTTTTGGTATGTTTTTGTGTGCGTTAAAATCTACTTTGTGTTGATAATTCGTTATCTTTCCTCAACATTTAAAATGACTAGGTATTCATAAACAGCTGTCTGTGCAAGATACTCCAAACTCATTGGCGAGACCAGCAGTAACCAATGCTGAGAGAACAAGCCGGTTGAGGAAGAAATTAGGGAGGTGGACGGAACCAACTTTACGGTACACATCATCAAAAGGGGAACCCCAACTCGGAGTTTTCAAAGCAAAGGAACAGAGACAAGACGTAGAAACATATGACCCTGGAAATTGGCGGAAGGCATACAGGCTATGAATATTATTCGGGAACAACTAAAAACGAGAGGATTACTGATGGGTAGCTTTTGGTCAATGACAGGTAGCACGTCTAAGTGGTAAAGTAACTTTATATGAGGTATAGAATTATTAATGAAATTGTATTCGGTATAAAAAGTAGTCAAAGAGAAACTAACAACAGGTTGAAGCTATTCGGGTGAAAAGACACACGTGAAATCTTTACATAAAGAGGTTTCTCAGGATTAATTTGAGTGCATAAATACAAAGTTAGTCCATGACATCTGAAGTGCCCATACGATGGGTGGCGTGATGCATTGTTTTAGGGTAAGAACGCCTGGATGGTAAACCTGCACGTCCTTTTCCCTGTGTACTGACTGGACCCAAGTAGGGGAGGAAGGATGAAGTTTCTTCATAAACTTGAGTCCGAAAGAAAGGCTAGAAACGGAACATGAAAGGATGTGGTGATTCGTCTGATAATAGTATCATGTGGCACGACGACATGTGATAAAACATCCAAGATAGAAAAAACGAAAACTATTAATTTGAAATATGTAAAGAATTAATACTAACGGAGAATATTTTATCTTGCTAAAAAATAATACCCATAGATTATCACCTGATTTTATGTGCGACCTGTCACCTAAACTACAAACAACAGGACCAAAAGATATACATATCATTTGGGAAGGAAAAAGCATGGTGCATAATATATTATACAGTATTTCAAAAGGTACTGATTACACATTAATGAGTATTTGACAAGTCTAATATTATAGGAATCGTTTTGTCGATAAGTATTTACATTCTTTGAATAGAACAATCAAAGGTAAGCAGTAAGGAATGACTCCATAGTATTATGAATCAAACTTGTTTTATATATATAAGAGATAACAACCCAGGTGGTGAATGAGAAATTCGAGAATAGCAAAAAAACGGTAGACATTTCTCAAGTTACTACTGATTAACTCCATCCACTTAACATCAGGTCAACAAGATGAAATTTATGATGGCTGATACATACGATATCATATAAAGTTAGGAAATAATAATCCTGGTGGACGAGTGTGTGTTAGAAGATAAATTAGTTTCTAAGCCCATAAGCACATTTATTAATGTGGAGATAAAAATGTAGTCTTTTGTATGAGTGGGACTACTCAAATAAAAGTGATTAGAGTGACTAGATAAATCTAATGATGGACATTTTCCTGAATATTTCACTTTCGAAATGTTTTCAGAAGTGAGAGTGAACTACCTGCATAATACGTAACACAATGTACTGATAATGAATGTCGCAGTTAAGGATACTAGATGCAACGTGGAATCACGAGATGAAAGAACAACATATTTTTACAGATTGATTATTAGGTTTGCAGGAGGATACCCCATAAGCTTTCTGTTTGCTTAAACAATAATGCAAGGAAGCAACTGAATACGTTTTAAAGTTATGAAAATAATTCTTTTTAAAAACGGGAATTATAGGATGCAAAACATTTGCACATTTATACCTGATCTAGGAAAAAACAATTGGGTAAGTTGACATTACCACGCAGAATTCCTGTCACTTTTAACAAATCATCCTCAGAAACACCAGTCGTTAAATAAATTACACCAGCAGTAGGATCAACAGCGCGACAAATGGCTAAAAAAATTTTGTAATAAATAAGAGAATAACACAAACCTCGGTTCTTCAAACAGCAGCGCGTATCATTAAGGTGCAAAAAGTATTAACAGTAAACCCATAGACAAGTGATTCAGATATTTAAATAACCGCTGTTAGAGTTATTTATAATCAGACAGATGAATCAAAAACATTCTCGAACTAATCATAACTGAACTAAATGGACTTAGACTGTAGAATTTCTTTCCGACCTCATTTGTCCACTTTGACTGTGAACGTATTGAAAGCACAAAACAATATAGTGAAAAACGGAGAACATCACTGCACATAATAAGTTGTTAGCTAATTTGATCGTTTACAGGTTGGAATAGTAGGTCTAACCAGTTTGAGATAACTAGATAAAACGAGGCTTGAACTCAAAGAAAACTAACAAAGCATATAACCTAGACACTTCAGTTTTAAACAGAGTAAATCTGAGTTTAATATGTTGCTATTTCACATCATACTAAAATACAAATGTTTCGGAACATTTTTAAAACAAAGCTATTCTCGTGAGCACAGTATAAACGTTCCACTTATAAATGGATAGAAGAAGAATTAGACAAAGTCATGAGACAGGAACAGAAACAATAAGCACGAGTTAAGATATAAGATCCTAATTGACCTAAATACTTCAGACTAGGGCCCACCTGGAAGCAATTCCATTTAAAATATTTTCTTTCACAATAATTATTACCAAATGCCATAATGAATGTAATATAAATCCAAGTGACTCGATATTGTGTAGAAGTCAAGATGTCAGGTGGTTGGAGGCAGTCGATAGGAAATAGTACGCCTAGATTTCATCTCAGTTGGGATTCGTCAACAAGGTACGGTTGTAATCTTAAGGACTAGACAAACATGACGATGATTAGTGATAAGTGGTCAATTGTAGATACTTCAGCCCTACAGGACAGTCGAGACCCGAATAGCTCAGTGGTTAAGTTGTAGATTGTGAAGTTGAATGAAGGAGATTCGAATAACTTATGGAACATTAGTTCCATCAAGACTATAGACATGCCATGTTGACGAGTGTTAAACAGCACGAAACCTATGTCAAGTACATCCTGTAGACTACCTCCGACCACCTAATACTATTGAGAATGTATTCAAAAATGTGACTTACAATGAAAGAAATAATGTGACTAAATAATCATAAATGGATTTCACTTCCATAAACAGATTTTTAAATATATATACCATTGAACTTATATTAGCCGTTAGAGCACTGATAAATTTCATGAGGAACTATAATTAGAATATTTTACATTACTTATCATGAAAACTGATAAAGAATAAGTATGTCCATCAGCATCATTTTCATGTTGTACCATAAACTTAATGTATATAAAAATTCACAACTCACCTAGACCTACACACTCACAAACCGGATTAGATGATATCCAACGATACATGCAAGTAGAATCTGGTTCGGTTATCTACAAAATAAGGTAAAATATTGAACCACAAAAGTATGAAATCGAACGAAAATGAACCTAGCTGACGAATTAGATTAAGTCGACGTCCATCAAATCACCAATAGTCAGTCAAATGCAACGCAGAACCTATGTAGTGAATTATATTTGAGATAAATCTTTAGGCTTCGTATATTAATTGCCCTGGTAACCGTTATTAAATAAATCCAAACTATTTACAAATTCAGCACGCAACAAGAAGTGCCAACTTAGGTCTATTATTGAGCGGTACAGGTCACTAAGGCATAAGTACATCAAAAGAAATAGAGCATAAACGCCAATGAAAGTGAGTGAGCGAATGCAGAGGCGAATCAAGCATACATGTACATACAAACGTGATAATAATACCAAGACATACAAATTGCTACTGTTAAGATAACACTATCTGTTAGATAAGTTAATTGAAGGGATTTAAAAAATTAGACGTTAACAAACTTAAGCGTAGGAGAGGAGCTATACCTAGCACGTAGTACCCAGTTTAATTTGCCACACTACTAATAAGATGATATTCAATACGTGTAACCTATAAAATAAAAATGACAGTTATTTGGTATTCACTACTTTCATTGATAGGACATTACATATGTGATCAGCTGACCTGTACATCGACTTAAATAAACTGTCGTTAGCTAAGAAATCATATTTTATTTTTCTACTAATAGTATTTTTTTTATTAAACTTTGTTAGAATATTAGATGACAGTAGATGTGCACATTAAATGATTAGTCTCGTGAAATGTAAAGTTATTTATACAAATTTCGTTTACAGTCAATAAAATAGATGTTAATAACATTTTCTCTGTACCTCAAAGGCTTACAACTTTAGACATTATGGGAATTACGCTATGGTTAGACAATTAGATAGGGATCAAATAATAGGGACTTGACTATTTATAATAAAATGATGAGTTGATTGTTGTTTAATACCGTAATTCCCTTGATTAATTAACAACAAAAAGAGGATTCTCAAATTGGATCTGTCAGATGAAAGATTGTACCGTGTATCTGAGACATGGACGAATATCCAGAAATTCACTTACAATAAATGTTAAAATGTAAAGTATAACTTAAACAAGTAAGTATTTTGGTTAATTCCTCTCATTAGGTCTTACGGTCACAAAGAATTAAATCACTAGACCTTATAATGAAAAACTTTTACCACAGAGCATATGATTAATGTAAAATATGGTAAAGGAATCATAGAAAATATCACATTTTAGGTGATTATATTAAATATTAACAAAACAAGGAAAATATTATATCTTTTGCCCGATTAATTAACATGTATTAAGATTGCCAATCAGAATACGGCTTATACAATCTTAGCACTGTATCAATGACGCGTTAACCGGTACGAGCAGCCTAGAATGAATTCTGAATCCTTAATGGTCCTTCTCTCCCAGCCCTGTCCATTTGAATCCAGAACACAAGTCCCAGCTCCCACTGTATGAGTCATATATTTGACACACTAGGTTTATATACAAACAAACCAGACCGCATTACACCGTAAAATAGAAAATAACAATTATGCAACATCAATTCAAAAAATGGCTGTAACTAGTAAATTAGGAATAACTTAAGAGTAATAGATAGTGTAGTAGTAGTCAATAGGTCAAATGGGAGCTTATAATAAAAGGAATATGAATATACATGTAATATAGTTACTTAATAGTTACACAATAAGAATATATGTATAACATTAGACCACAAATAATTCCCAGACGTTACCATTCATTTATACTTTGTTAGGATATAACAGAAAAAACTAGTTTAGGATTTATTCAATCGAACTTTATTGTTACGATAAGGAAATTTAAAGCAACTTTCCACGAAAAATGACTTAAAATACAAACAGTCGTATATACTAATGTAAGGCAAACTAATTTATTCACTTTGTTAATTACATTTTAATGACAAGAATGATTGACTAGATATGGTAAGTTTGTGGTTTCAACCAGTTTGCACAAGAAAACGATAAAGGCAATATGATGAAAACGATTTTAAAAATTAAACTTACACACACACACAAGAGGGAATTATAAATCACTGGAAAGCAGAACAACCGTTAATAATCAAAGCATAAATATATAATATCATATATTACGGATGTATTTATATACGCAGAACTTACATTATGTTGTGGTACAACGCAAAGGGCAACTAGGGTAGCATTTAAACAAGCTAATAAACTATCGACACTTGATGGAAAAGCAAAATTTTCTGCAAATAGATTAGAATCTGGGCGCATTATCCGAAAGGCCAAATGATTTGAATCATTCTTATTAGTGTATAACGAATCAATTTCTAATGTGTCGTGCTGAACATCAAATGTAGAAACTGAGCTACTGAGTATTACATTTTTTTGTTCATTTACGTTTCCACATTTATCTTGTTGTTTAGATGGAACAGTAACTGGAACTTGGTAAGGGATACAATCCAGCAAATGTGCTACTGGATGTCCAAGAGGTTCATCTTTTAGTCTAGAAGGTAAGCTAGTATATGCACAAGCCAAAGTGGACATAAAATAAGTCAGCATCATTAAATCGCGATGATCAGGAGGACCAAGATTGTATCGTGGGTCATCTATTGTATTATACTTGTACCTATAACAATATGTACAGAAAATGAAAGCTGGAAATAGTCATAACCAAAATTTAGTGTATTTCAACATAGATATCATTTATGCATTAACAATAGTGCATCAGTGATTCATCAACAAAAACTTATTGTAAGCAACACATCATATCAACGTGAGAACTTAAAGTAAAAGGAGGAACTGAAGAGGACTATTACCAAAAAATTAAAATAATAAATAGGGTACTGGTCTGAAAAAAAATCAGTGCATAATCTATAGAGTTTACACGGGTGATATAACCTTAAACAAACTTTTTTTCTTACCAAATTTATACAAACAGATTTGTGCTAAAAGCAATAATCGAACTACACTGGTTGTTTCAAACACGAAAATTTCATTTCTCACTCGAGAATTTATATTAGCTATTTCAACACTGTATTACTGTGGTGCGTACTTTAGATAAATGGAAATTTTTAAGACTGACATCATGAAAATGTACAGTATTATAATCTTGTTGTCGAAAATATGATTAAAACTGGCTGACTAATCGCGCAAAAGATTTTTGTTACCGATGTTATTCACAACTGGGAGTAACTAATATAAAGGAGATTCGAAAGTTTATAAAATGGTATACGAAAAGCATATTGGCGAGACCGCAAGTTATGGACAAACCAATCAGATCTACGATAACGGGTCTTTGATTTCGACGCGAAATTCTTCATCCGTCTGGCTAAATAGCGTCTTGGAATTTTAGCTGATGTCAGTCTGTGATGAAAACCCTAAATCTAATCTCTATTCTCAACCATCAACTGTAAATCGAAATCCTTATCCATTGCACAGATTTAAAACCCTCATTTAGCCATAATCAGTAGATGGACATTCTCAAGGCCACTTTTAGCATCGCTCAAAGGTTGTCCATAAGTTATAGTCTCACCAATACATCTATGAACGTATATGAAATATAAGTATCTATCTGTCTTAAAAGACAGAGATAAATATGCATCGTACATTTAAATCATGAATAATAAAACATATTTATGGATTCTAGGACATCGGACATTTAGATCGATACATTTCATCTTAGGTTACAATTAAATATCAATCTAAACAACCTTTATATCTCTAAAAGCAATCACCATGTGCTTCAAACAACAAAATAACTATCGTCACCTGATGATCATTTGTAAGTTTTTCCCAGTGGGATTAACTAGATTGATATTCACAAAAAGTAACATTATTACTAATATTATTAGACATATTTCCTCGCGGGCAATAAAGATTCTGTAGTTTGTTTACAGAAAATTATACCAACTTGTTAAACAAGTCTTCAGAACTACTGAATTGAGTAATGACGAGTTGAACAAACAAATAACTAATTTCCTATTCTGGTTGTTGCTAGGCTTGAAAATGAGCTGTTTTGTAGTGAAGTAGGAGAGTTTAGTTAACAATAAACAAACGACCAACAAATCAAGTTATGGTAGAAAAGATAGTTGATGATGATTACTGCATTTAATGATATTGAAAGCATCATACTTACGAACTGAGAAAAATGATTATCCAATGTCTAAGAACGGTTTGTTAGTTATAAGCAACATAAAACCTAGCGTATATGTGGATCATTTCAAGTTGTCACACCACACCACAACATGTAACAGTTATATAAGCAGTAACAGTCTTAGTGGTATTAGAAAAGATTAAGCGTAGTTTATATAATTTGACAAAAAAATATGAATTTGTGGAGTAAAAATTCCTTCCAGATATTTATGAAACTTAAGATCTAACGGAAGGCAAAAGAGTGGATGCATCTCCATCATTCTGACCAATTGTGAGTCATGTCACTCAATGTTTCTAGTTATTAATGAAGATGATCGTTCAAACCTCAAACAAATAATCTGAACCGACTTAAACGTCTCACTCCATCACTCAATATTTTCATGGACTGATGACACATTTAGTTTGACACTCCTATCTTCCTTATAACTTACTCCTGTACCAGCCATCATTGTCCATCGAGGTGGGTGGTAGTTGGGCATACGTAATACATTTCTCATCCACATCAGTCGATAAATAATCAGTACTTCACTAATTGGCTTGTGACCCTTACCTAGTAACCGATGTCTAACTCCAACATTACTTACTCGGTGATCTCAATACACACAAGCAATACTTCGAAAACATCCATGATCAAATACTAATAAACGACGAATATACTTTCTTTTAAAGGCTATATTTTCCAGCCTTAAAGTGTGATAGAAGGAACTGCTATTCAGTGTAGTCATCCTTTGATTTGTAGGTAGAAATTTCGCCAACGCCACATAGTGACAAGGGCTAGTCGTATTTCCTAATTCCGTGCTGAGATTTTATCAGATACCAACCCACGAGGGCTGATGTGACCTGGAAGTGAAATGGTTGACACGTTCAATTAATTCGTTAGTTTAGGCGTTGGCGAAGATCAATCCTAAAACAGTACCTTAGACAACAGAATTTTAATTAACCAACTTTCATAATTATAGCTGGAGTCCTTGAATAATATCGACAAATGAAACATCCACGTGGTTAATTTACGATTTGCGCTACTTACTTTAATGGTACTTACCAACCAGTTAAAGAATCGTGCACTTAACTTTAAACCCTAATCTTAACCTGGTAGTATTCAGATGCCCAGACCATAATAGGTGAGAAGGTTCCAAACTACAACTCAGTGCTTTATGGTCAAATTCTTAGTTTATTGAATAAATGATTCAGTTACTAACTAATCATACATTGTACTCAAAAGTAACAAGTAGACAACAACCAAAGAACTTTACACCTATTGAGACAATCCTAGGAAACACAAACTCATATATGAAACTAAGGATCAATATTCAATTAAAGAAAATAACCAAGTGGAGCACTCACAGAAAATTACACTCAACACAGAGTGATGACTATAAAAAGTCAAAATGTTTGGCAATAAAAATAACCTGACAAGAAGAACATAGAAGGCGGATGTATATACTGGATGCTTTCAATGTTTAAGACTTTGAAAAACATCACTAGTAAACTAGCTAAAAGATTATTATTTATAATCTATTTACAATAAAAATTGAATAAAAAAGGTATATTTCTGCATATTAATGTTAATAAATTTCAAATATATATATATATATATATATATAATCTACACAATCTATTTGGTCTAATTATCGTTTGATATCGTTACAAAGATAATTTTTCAGTGTTATTATAGCCCGAAAATTAATTATATCAGCATATCGATATAAATTTAATCTAATAATTTAATAACTAATTGTGTATGCTTTAAATTATTTTCTAAAATAAGCTTGTTCTATCATAACGATTTACTAAAAAATATATTACTTCAACCCAATTTAAGTAATCTGGACAGTAATAATCATTAATAAATATAACATACAATTTGACGTCAGATTCTATAAGAATCACATCATGGTTAAATGTTTCGTTGGAAATGTCCTGTAGAAAAAAGAAAATAGTAAAGTTAACATTACGAATAACAGGTAATGTACTGCTAAAGTTTAAATTTAAATTATTACTATTATTTAGCAGTGAAAAGTAACCTGAAATGATATATTGTAAGACACTACATCACATAGGGGATAGAGAACATTAATAAGCATAATAGATTAAACAACCCGTTAGACGCAATAAAGATTTTGGATTGTATTTGTTCATTTAACAACACAAATCCTGGTACAATAAGGCACCAAAAAAGCACCAAACAAATGAAATATTTTCGTCAAAAAAATAATAGAGAAACAGTAATCAAATCGATAAATAAAAATGCGGTTTAATTAAAAAACCAGCCAACAAACACATCAGTTAAGACTCAACCCACTTTTATGAGGAGTATAATAGAAAACTACAAGATTGATATTCACTTCTATTCTGAGCCATGTCATATAACATCTTGAATAACTAAATCGCACAATCTCTCTGATCTAAACAATGACATTTCACAAACTGATTACCCGTTCACCTTTACCACTAAATTCCAGAGTCACTAGATGATGTACGGTATGGAAGTCACTGGCATGAAATTCGTGAGACATATTCAAGCAACCAAAGCTGATGTTCCAAGATGACGACATTAATTGAGCTGTCAACAATGCTCCCTGAACGCACATTACCGAATCACAGCATTAATAAAGTAGTGTTGCTACTTGAGGTCAGAAATCATTTGGAGAAAATGGTAAGCGAATACCGGACCCCCCAGACATTCTTAGATTGGGTGAACCAGGTTTCGAAATCACACTACGAAGCTGTAAACCAGACAATTTATGGCTAGACTAACATCAAGACGCCACTAAGATGATAAAGACTGGGATAATTTCCTTTAGTTTCCACTATATATATGTATATATAGGTTGACCTCACCTATCTCTCCATCATTAGCAATCACACATTTACTCGAATAAACGAATACTTCAGTTATTTTCAGTGGTCCACAAAAAGAAGTGGAGCTAGACAAAGGCCTCTACTGATCCCACAGTTCGAATACTAGATGCGGTGGAATGGAGATGTGAAAATATATTAGTGCACTGGTTTATGATTGAGTTTCCATTGTTTTTTAAGAATATGTTGCTGATAAAGAGCTTTTTTTGTTTCCAGCCTATTGCTCCATTTTAATTGCTAACAATAAGACTGTAGTATACTGTCTTGATGTTTTATTGGAGAAGTAGAAGTTGTGGTTCACCAGTCTATAGGGAATTGAAAGTTAATCTATTGGTCGCGGTTTTAAACTCTATTCAATTAGTCAGGGTTTGGTAGGAGTATATATCATACCGGCTCTAGCACAATAAGTATAGCTTGAAGATCCACCTTATCCATATTCATGAATGCCTGGAACAATCGGAAAAACTGGTGAATCCTTCTTTTTGTCTGTAAAGGTCTCCTCGAAATATCAATAAGGTGGATCTTAAACATAATTCCAAGCATTTCATAACCTCAGATGAACCTAATGGGCATCGTAAATCCAAATCAGATTGTAGTGAATCTATTAATGCTGTCCCTAGAAACCAGCGCAATCTTGAGAAGTGTATGTCCTACAAAGGTCTGGTTACGCTATGTAGACGATATTTTTATTATCATTAAACGCAATGGTTTAGAAGAATTGTTTGAAAATGTAAATAACATTTCGGAGAGCATAAAGCTAACGAAGGAAATAGAATCTGTTGACCACAAACTAGCGTTTCTCGACTGTCTGGTTGAACGAAGATATAACAATATTAAGTTGAAAATAAATGTGTTCAGGAAGTCAACACATTCTGAAAGATATTTAGATTTTGGTCCGCCTCATGCGCTGTGTACAAAAGTCACTGTTGTAAAAACTTAAAAAATTAAAAGAAGTATTAAGCTCGTTGCAGATAAGAAAGACCAACAAGTTGAATTGAATAGAGTTTTGTCTACAATTAGGGATAACAACTATCCAAAAAAGTTCTTAAATAATATTAGAAAAAGAAGAAAATTTAAACTAGAATGTATACTGACAGATTGGAAGTCCACAGTGGTCATTACATACTGTAGTGAAACATCGGAAGAAATGAAGCGGATTCTAAACAAACATGATGTAACTGTATTTTCGGGGATGTGACACTATAAGATCGGCATTAGTGAAAGCTAAGGATAAGTCCCCAAAGGAAGAACAAAATATTGTCTATGAGATCAACTGTCATTGTAATTCAGCTTATGTGGGGGAAACATCCAGACAATTGAATGTAAGGTTGAAGGAACGAATACAGTGTTTGAAATACATTCCCAAATCCACGGTTGCCTTAATAAAACTTGTGAATAAGTCTGTGATAGCGTTACATGCGTTAGGAACAGGACACATGATTAATTTCGAAGGGACCAAAATACTTCAGGAAGGTTTTAACTCATAAAGAAAGATTGACAGCAAAAGCGCTGTATAAATGGGCGAATAAGAACAGCCTAAACAGAGAGGATGGTATTCAGCTAACAACTACTTGGCAAATATTAGCTATTAAGTAACTGGATCCATTTCTTTATTCAACCTGTTTATTTCACTTGCATCGTTATATACTTCTTTGATGATTTTGACAACTACCCTGAAGAAGTCTAGACAAGTTGGCTGGACGAAACGTTGGGATTATTTAAATTTCAATCGCTGAGATTATTTCAAATATAATTTTCACATATAATGACATCTATACATACTATTAAGTAAATGGAACTGACGACCTAATGACAAAGAAGTACATGGAAATCGATAAGACCAATAATTAGCTTGAAAAGCCGACAGAAAATATCGGGTGTCTGTCATATATATATGAGTTGATTTCAGGTGTTTAGATGAAACAGATATCCCTATCATAGGGCAGAAATCCAGAGTCATTTAGTAAACTGATCTCAAATTATCTACTCACAAGTTCAATGTACGAATCATGTGTATCTAATTAAAAGACAACTTACCCGTGAATTCCAGGTGTCCATAGTTTTTAATGAACTACTATTTAGATCTGGAGAGTTTGTGCGATTATTTGAAGATCCCGTTGTACGAAGCTGAATGATCAGATCTGGTTTAACTAAGAGTATTTGTTCTAACAGCAGTGTTAATCCAAGCCCTGGGAGTAAAACAATAATGACATTTTATATACATAGCACTTGAACAAACTTATTTTGAACATTACACTTGATATCAGTTTTAGTTATTCAATACACTAAACTTATCTGCTTCGGCTTGGACACCCGGGCAGTATCCTAGTCCCCACACAAATCGGATGATTTATGAGGGTCATATCTATTTGGTGCCTTCTTGTGCCAATGTTTGTGTTTAAATAAATAAATACATTAAACTTGGTACAACTGGCAACAAAATAGATATAGGTTACGCAATTACAGAGATAACAGGGTGAAGGAAATAAAGTCGAAAAGAAGAAATAAGTAGCTAAAGACAGTATATAATGGGAGATACAGCTCAGACAGTAATACAACAGAGTAACAGCTCTTCCAACTAAGGGAATTTCTTTTATTCTCTATAAAAATACAAAAACTACAGCAGGAGCCACATTAGTTTTGTTGAGCCATATCATTTAACGTCTTAAACCACTAAACTGAACTATTTCTCCGACCCTAACAAGGGGGTTGTGATAGACTGACGGATCCTAATACTATAAAGCTTTCGTTCACTCCACAATGACATGTCATAAACTGGTCACCAGTAGGTTAGTTCGCTATCGTTCTTAAAATGACCCGGCGGCAGATCGTTTGAGACTAGTAACCATGACACGAAACTATACTGCACCTGTGTTTCAAAATGTCTTATCAGAAAACAAATGAATGAAAAACATTGTATCAGTACTCGGAAGAATTATCTTATTTGTAATATGCTAAAAGCTGGTAACTATGGCTCAAATAAAAATAATTATGGAGAGTAATATAAAATCTCGTTGATCAAAAGAAATCTTCGTATGCATAATTGGGATGTTTGTGTGCCCACTATGTTCCAATTTTATCAATAATATGTCCAAAAAACTACAAAGAATCCAACTAACACTGGTATTTCTCATGTGTTAAAACAATTGATAATTACTCTGTAAAAAAGTATTATTAAGGAGCTTTCAGGTTGTCATTTAGTTGGTGGTGATAAGCAACGTGAAACCTGGTACAGATAGGCATCAGTCCAATTTACTACATTACATTGGCACAGAGAGATGACATTATAAACACAAATACAAAGATGATGAAATTAGTAGTGGCAACTAAAAATTAGAAATGGGAAATGCAATCCGAGAGAGGAAATATGAGATAATGCCGAAACTCGGCACTTAGGGGTAGACAAAGAAACGATCCATTTGTATTACGGTGATGGAATCGCTGATCACGATTATCGCCCGATCCTAACCAGATAATCTAACAAAAAGATATATACCATTATTCGGTGACTTCACGGACTGATGACAACTCTTAGTTTGTATTGAAACTGAATATCGGAAATGAAACCCTTTCTGAACACTTCTACGTACTCGAGCGTCAAGATACTTCGCAAAAACGATATAAATTGAATTTTATGAGACAAGAGCCTCATATAGCGATAAAATAACTTTATGATCCAAACAATTTATTTTCCAGTAGTTAGTATGGACCAACAGGGTAAAATACGGAATGATTATTTATTTATTTATTTGAACACATAAATATTGGTACAAGAGAACGCCAATATATACACGACACACAAAACAATGAGAATTCGAAGAGGAAGAAAAAAAGGTAAGGAGCGTAAAAAAAGAGAACAATAACGAAGAGGTTGGTGTAAGGTAGTGTAGTAATAATAATAGTAATAATGAGGGAACGGAAAGGTACAATCAGAAGAAATCTTTTAGTTAAGGGAGACACAACCACTTTTTTTATGAAGAAAGTAAAAGAAGGTTACAGCAGGATCGCCACTGGCTTCCATTCTGAGCCATATCTGAAAACGTCTCTAGCCACTGTGTTGCACCATCTCTCCGACTGCAGACAGGCAGTCGTGAAAGACCAACAGAAGCCAGCCCTTTGCAGCTTTCTTTCATACCACGACAATATGTCATACACTGACCACCTCTCCGCTTCTTCCAACCAGTCCCAGTGTCGGCAAATAATGCACGACGTGGGATTCTCTGGGACGATATTCGTAGAACATGTCCAAGCCACCGAAGTCGGTGTTTCAGGATGGTGACACCAATCGCATTATCGTCTCTGTGCGCGAACACACGATGCCGAACCTCTGGATTACTAACATGGTGTTGTCACTGGATGTCAGCAATCCTTTGAAGACAACGATGATCAAACACAGAGAGTCGTCTAACACCCTCAACTCGGAGAGGCCAGGTTTCACAAGCGTAGAGTAAAACCTCTCTCCCCGACGCGTTGTAGATCCGACCTTTTACAGCCGGACTGACATCACGAAGGCGCCAAAGATGGCCCAGATTGGCATAAGCCGCTATGGCTTTCACTATTCGTGCATTGATCTCATCACTCAGGCCACCACCAGCACTCATACAGCTACCCAGATACACGAACTTCTCGACTACTTCTATCTGCTCACCATCCAGAGTGAGTGCAGGGTTAGAATCCTGCCAGCCTTGTAGAAGTACTTTGCAATTCGAAGGTGCAAAGCACATACCGTAGCTACGGACACTGATTGCCAACTGAGTAAGTGCGGATTGCATTCCTTGGGTATTGTCGCACAGTAAAACGATATCATCCACGTACTCAAGGTCGAGAATTCTTTCTTCAGGCAACGGAACAATGGAGAGAGGTGGTTGTATGCCCTCACTCTGCCTGAGGTGTTTGTATATAGGGCTTTTAGGATGTCAATAAACTTCTCAGGCACACCCTTCTTCAACAGACAATCCCAGAGAACAGTCCTGTCCAACGAATCGAAGGGAGCCCTGATGTCAAGGAACACTACGATTGTTGGCCTTTGATAAGTATGACGGTGTTCTAACATTTGGCGGAGGGTGAAGATATGATCAATACATCCTCGACCAGAACGAAACCCAGCCTGCTCCTCGCGTGTCAATCTTTCCCGAGTTTTGAACAACCTACGAAGTATGACGGAAGCCAATAGCTTGGACGCAATCGGAAGTAGACTTATCCCCCGATAGTTGTTACAAGAACGACGTGAACCCTTTTTAAAGATAGGGACAACTACCGACTCATTCCATGACGTTGGTACACTCTCTAGTTCCCAAACCTTTGTAAACAACGTCGTCAATTCCTTAGTCAGAAAGTCATCACCATCTTTAAGAAGAGCCGGAGGTAAGTCATCTGGGCCAGGTGATTTGTAGCGCCTCAAGAGTTGGAGTTCCTTGCGGACTTCCTCCTCGTTTGGCGGATCAGTCGTCACCGGCCATGGAGGGCAGGACAGTTTGACCGATATTGCCGGAGCAGCAGGCCAGTTGAACTGCCCTTCGAAAAATTCTGCCCATCGTCCAAGACGTCGATGGATGTTAGTGATCGGCATCCCATCATCCTCGCAGATTGTTTCGCTCGCACCAGACATCTTGCTGTCGGTGGCTCGGATGAGTTGGAAGAGCTTCCGGTAATTACCAGATGCAGCTGCTGCTTCCAGCTCATTAGCACGCTTCTCGGTCCTTACGCAAGATTTGCCCAATTTCCTTACGTAACATCCTTCGTTTGTGGTCAAACTCACGGTCACCCGGAGTAGACCGACGGGCTTCAATGAGTTGTAAGGAACCAGAAGAAACCCAGTGCTTAAAAGCGGGACGTTTCGCAAACCCACAACTGACTGTACCCGCCATTTTCATGGCGTCATGCAATTGCAACCAATGCTCATCTATACTTTTCAGTGGAATGGTAGCTAGCCTAGAAGCTAGCTCGATTCGATACTTACTAGCAAAAGAAGTTGCAACCAGCTTGCTAATATCAATCCGTTGATGGCGTTCACTTCGTTGTCCACTGAAAAGTAAGGCAAGATTGGCACAGACCAAAGCATGGTCAGAGTCTAGATAGGTACTCCAAAAGGAGCGGCAGTCTTGTACACAACCACGCCAGCGGTAGCTGATCGCGATGTGATCAATTTGAGTTTAGGCTTGGGATGCAGAGGGAGGACGCCAGGTGGCACATCGGCGATGACTGTGCCGAAAGTTAGTGCTAGCCAGAAACAGGTTGTGGTCTGTGCACAGTTGCAGTAGACGGTCCCAGTTATCTGACCGGTGACCAACGAGTCCCCATCGGTCACCTAAACGACTCTCTTCTGTGTCTAGACGCCCGACCTGAGCGTTCAAGTCTCCGACTAGTACTACAATATCTGTCGAACGCACTTTCTGGAGAAGAACAGATAACTGGTGGTAAAACTCATCATTGAATGCATTCAGGCTGCAATCTGTCGGAGCATAGGCGGAGATGACGAAAAGACATAGTTTCTCACGCCGATTTCTTCTCATTTTGATGGAACTCTCTAGTCTAACAGCACATAACCGACTGTTAATGGGGATCCAATCGATTAGTGCTGCCTCCGCTCTAGCGCTTAGTCCAACACCAACGCCAGCAAGACCAGACGAAGATGCCGCAGGGTCCCCGGATAAGCGTACGTAAAACAAGCTTTTCGAAGCGACAGATGAAGAGAGAATTTGTAGTACTTCACCAGTGTCTTGAATACGGGTCTCAGATAGACAGCAGATATCAATATGAAGACTTTCCAGAGACATAGTCAGCCCTATCTGTTGTCCAACCTGCATAAGAGTGCGAACGTTGAAGGCATCCAGTTTGAATGGTGCACGTGGTTTCAGAAAAACTGCTTCAGTACTCATATTCAGTGGTAATATACAATTTTCAACCGGACAGTGACTCGAGAACGTTTAGATACAGTCGAATATCCACCAAAGACGAGCCGCTGTATAAGTATAAAACAGGGTGAATAATGTGGTAAATAATAATAATAATAATAATAATAATAATAATAATAATAATAATAATAATAATAATAGTAATAATCATTTGAATCATTTGATTGTTATTCGAAGCGAGAAAAGTAGTTTCCATAGATATAGAGAGTTCATCATTTGCGTGTGAGCTGCGATAATGCCCGGGTGCCCAGACCGAAGCAGGAGGTTATCTTAGGGGGCCACACCCCGAGCCTTTGACCTAAAGGTCTAACCCGCAAGACAGTGGAGCATCGTAATGAGATCCAGTCCCATGGTAGCCGGTGACCAACGATTGGTTCATACGCCATTTGTTCCCGCAGGATACTGGAACCCATGTGCACCATTGGTTTGGGATCCGGTTAAAGCGTCGGACATTCGAAGTTCGTTTTCTGGATTATGAAACATTATAATACTAAGTGGATCTTCTTTGGTATAATGACTGAACCATCGTTTAGCAGACGTTTGTGTTTTATTTATTATTATTTATTTAAACAAATAAACTCGCTTAAAAACGCTAACCAGAAAAAATAATTCAAGTATTGGTACAACAGGCACCGAACATATATGTGCTACACATGTCACTTGATTTGTGTGTGGACTGTGATACTGCCTGGGCGCCCAGACCGAAGCAGGTGGTTTTCTTGGAGGGGCCACACTCGGAGCGTTTGACGTAAAGATCTGATCCACAATGCAGTGGAGAAACGTCAAGTGATACAATTCCATTGTAGCCATTGACCAACAATCGGTTCATATGCCATTTGTTTCCTCAGAATCCTGGAGCCCATGTGCACCACTGGTTTGGAATCAGGGTTTTCTAACTCTTTTAGGTGGATCTTCCATATCCACCAATCCGGTTAAAGCTCCGGACATTCGCTTTTTGTCCTCCCAATTTCGTAAACAACACCCCTTCCACGAGAAGGCAGTGAGTAGGATTTCCCTGGCAGAGGCTGTATACGCGTGGTCATGTGAGATCATTTGAAGGGAGAGCGGACTTTCCCCACCCTCGGCCGTACCAGGGCATTTGGAAGCTTTTGTGCGGTATATCAGGGTTCTTAGGTAATGGATTGTGTTGTAAATGACAGCAAAGTGTTATAAATATTGATAAAAACGGCCTGCGAATGTCAAACGTACCGATTGAAAACTGTTTACTTAGATGATGATGGTCAGGTTACGAAGAAACACTAGATTTTCCTAATCAAAATTCATAGGCGGAAATATTTGCATTTTGTTTTACGGTGGGTCGTGTCAGTCAGTCAGTAACAATGTAGAACTTCGTACGTACGTACATCAGTTCGAGTTGCCACACCACATTAGCACAGAGATGCACTTGTCGATTCAAATCCCATAGTGGTAGAGGTAATAAGAGTATAAGCAGTAATCGGGAAGATTAGGGTTTGGAGATGTTATTTAAAGAGTATAATCCAGTGAAATAAATTTGGAAAGAGGAAAAAAGGGACATGAAGAATTCAGAAGATTAGAATTTGGGAGAACACAGAGAGTGGATGCACCTGTGCCATTGCAAACGATTTTGAGCCATGTCATTCAGGGTCTCTAACCATCGGTTGCTATCATCTCGCGGTCCCCAACCAGGTAGTCTACACCTACCAACATGACTCAGTTCACTTGTCAGTGACTTCATGGACTTGTGCCATGTTTTGGTTTGGCCGCCCCTAGCTTTCTTCCAATCTACTCCTATACCACTGAACATAGCACGTCGAGGCAGTCGGTGGTTGGGCATACGTAACACGTGTCCCAGCCATCTCAACTGATGAAGTTTCACTACGTCATCAATTGATTTGCCATCCTTACCTAGTACCCGTTTCCTAACAACTGCATTACTTACTCGATAGTCCCAGGATATACGAGCAATGTTTCGAAGACACCTATGATCGAATACTAGTAACCTACGGATATCCTCTACTCTTACCGGCCATGTTTCACTGCCATAAAGTAGGACGGAACGAACTGCTGCGCAGTAAACACGTCCTTTGGTTGATAGACGGATATCTCGCCTACGCCATAAATGACGCAAGTTGGCAAAAGCTAGTCGAGCCTTCTGTATCCGTGCTGAGATTTCGTCACACACCAGACCACAAGGGCTGATGAGACTTCCAAGATAAGTGAAGCGGTCGACACACTCAACTACTTCACTCCCTATCACTAGTTCGGGTGTCGATGTAACCCAATCCTGAAGCAACATTTTGCATTTCGAGGGAGAGAATCGTATCCCGAACATGCTTGCAGAAGATTCTGCATTTTGCCAGCGTCTTCACCAAATAAAACTATGTCATCTGCATATTCTAAGTCAACAAGTGAACCTCCTGGTAGAAGTTCAACCCCTGGAAATTTAGATGAGGAAAGTGTCATCTCTAAAAGTAAGTCAACGACAAAGTTAAACAAGAATGGAGAGAGTGGACAGCTCTGACGAACACCACTTGAGGTAATCAATTCTGATGACAGTTCGCCATAAGCTCTCACTCTACCAGTTGTGTTCGAGTAGAGAGCCTTTACAAGGTTAATGTACTTCTTTGGTACTCCTTTCAGTGACAAACACTGCCATAGAACCTCACGATCAATAGAATCGAATGCTGCCTTAAGATCGAGAAATACTACCATTGTGGGGCGTCTGAATGTGTGTCTGTGTTCTAGAACCTGACGTAGTGTGAATATCTGATCTATACAACCACGTCCAGGTCGAAAACCAGCCTGGGTCGTGTAATTTTACTTAAAATTTCTGTAGAATCACTGACGTCGTCCAATAAAGTATTTCAGAGAAAAATTTATTTAGACATAGGTATCGCGATAAATACCAAAACAATAGTTTTTGATTAACGGTGACTAAAAACATACCTTGCATCCAGCCCATTGTATTGACTAGTAAACGCGGCTTTGGTTCAGGTAAATTAACGTAGGCATCATATACAAAGTTGAGACATTTCAAGTAGAAACTGGGATCATCAGAGGGTGTAATGCAACCGACAAAACACTGACTAGAATATAATAGATATTCAGAGATTCACATGGATTCAGAGATGATGAGGATGAACGATTTAGAAACATCAAAACGAAGAACATGGGAGACAGAATATTTTAATGATTAGACTAGGTACAAGACAATCAGAATAATTACCTTCACATGCAACGTAAAATATGTACAAAAAACTAGCAGAGACCAAATATGATAGACAGTAACTACTTTATTTGGAAATTACTAGAACATTGGACTGAGATGAACCTAAAGACAAACGATGCAAAGGTTTTTCAGAACTAGAAGCATCACTGTATCGTCTAGATGATATAATTTTGATTCCAAGCACAAATTATATAAATTATCTTACTGAAACTTGGTCGGTTGGAACAGCATGAAGCGTGGTATCTTTTATTACAACATACCACGACTTGATTTTAGGGAATCGTATCTTTATGTATTTGGGCATTACAGCATATTACGAAGAGCCAATTATGTTTCACAAAAGTATGATGATCCTGTCAACTAGATAAAACATCAAATAATGACAGACTAAATTCAAAGACTGTATAGAGGTCTGTAAATTATTTTTGCCCTCAAATATTAAGACCCTGTCTGTCATTTCAGAAACAGGAAGTATATATGTGTATGATCACGGAATTCGACACAAATGTGATCTCGAAATGTTAAGTCACCTGATGAAATAAAAACCAAGGTGTGAACGACAAGGATTTTATGAAGTGTCAGCTTAGCACTTAACCAGTAGACATTATCACTCTACAAAGTTTGTGAAAAGTTTCAGATTAACATCTATTTGGTATTGATCTAAATTAATGCCCAAGCAAGTGTGACGCGTTAAAATCCCCATTAATTATGAACTAACTACAAAACAATCAAATTAATCGACTACAGGTGACTACAAATAAGGGGTAATGGGGAATACATTAGTATAAATGCACTTCAGATTGGAAGCATTTATGTCGTGCTTAAAATACCAATTGCACTTTCAAGGTTATATCGAGAACTTACCGGATAATATTTACATTAGTGGATAAAATATGAGTATACGGAGGACCAAACAGTGGCAGTTTGACTAGACACAAACTTATAATTCCATTCGGAGTAAATTCAGGTTGCCCAATATCACAATCAAGAACTGCAACACATTTTTCTTTAAGAGGATATTCCACATCTGTAAGGATTATGTTTGATAAAAAACGCAGTAGAGATGACTTTCCAGCACCCTTCGGACCACAAATTAGTAATTTCCTTACATAATCATTACATGGATCAACTACGGGGACGGAGCGAAGTCTCAGTGAAATACGTGAAACTTCTGGTGCGACCTGATATCCAAGGCTCCCATCATGTTCGAGAAAAGTAAACCCAAGTAACTTAGCTAAGGAGGCATTTGGTACAGTGCCTTCTGATGGCAGATGAAACAAAAAACGGAACCGTTTAATCTCAGAAAGTGAGTTTAGGACTCGACTCCGATGAGGACTGAAGTGTAAAACAGTCACATGGTCCCGAAAGACACTCATTTCTTTGCCAAGACGTTCTGTCAGAACTTGAACATCACTTGGATCACACAAACTCTCTAGAGCAACTTTGATTTCGGAAGATTGAAGTCCCTGAGCTGCATTTTTATTTACATATTCCGATTTTTCGTGTGGGCATTGAGTAATAGATAAAGGAGTGTGTGAAGTAGGTGAATAAAGATCATATGAGCTGGAAGGATTTGGTCCTATATTTCCTCCCCATATAGTGATCATTGGCCCACATAAGTGAGTAAATCTTGCTTTACCAAAAATTGCGAGGTGTGTATCACAACCAAGTAAAATGAAGCAGGAACATAAACGTCTACTTGACAAGTATACAATTATTTGAGCTCGTTTGGATTCAAACATAGTGACAAAAAGTTTTTGCTTATTCCGATTACTAGTCGCGTCAGTTTCATCGTGCAGATCCTGAGATTTTTGACGTGGAATCTTCTTGAAAGCAAACATGAGTTGTCGACTACTGTTCAAATCCACCTCATTCACACGACCTTAACTGGTTTCATCCAAAGCGGGCGTTCTTCAGCCTTTAGTAATACGGATAGGAGGTCTAACGACCTATATTAATCTTCGCAATTTGTAACACTGTAGAGGTTCAATTTCGTTTTGAATATATCAAAGTAACGTATTGACATTACGTGTTCTGGTAGACAATTCCAGTAATTCACAAAAAAGGTTCAATTGTTTGTAGACGGAATAGAAGTTTTGGGAAATGGCATTAAAAACTCAAAATTCCCCCAGAATTGTATTAAACTTTGGGGAAGTGCGCCCATATTTGTGAAGAAAACCCAAAATTTTCCCCAAAGTTGGGATCTTTGAAATATCCATGACGTGCGACTACCCATTAAACTGTAGTGACTTATTTTTATCACGAGAACACGATTGGTTTAATGAAAACAATTGTGATTATAACCAACTGTACCAGTGACTGCTTAATGTGCTCTTTGGTTAACTGTGCTAAAAACACCCATTATTCTTACACTTCGATTGCGACCTCGTGCAAATCCGGTTACGCTCAGTAACCAAGCTTGTATCCTGGCACGATCTCGGTATTTTTTCGATACCAAGAGATCGCCAGAAAATATATCTCGAGTTGGCCCATTAACTGCCTTCTGATATTTCGCTTCCGGGGGATTTTATGGATATCCTGGCACGCATTCCTTTGTAGTGGTATTCATAGTTAACCTCGACTCGACGCCACGCTACAAAACAATGACAAATAAAAATGTCTATGAATAGTTGTTAATAGGTAATACTATTGCTTCTGACTTTCGCTTTACATTTTCTGCTTCAACCCAAGTAATAATAATAATACTCACAATTCTGACATCAGACAAATAACTTGACAACGGTGAATGACTAATTGGCTTATTTCGAACTTCGATATGATCAAGTATACACCAAGAGTCTCAGTAATTTAACTTCATTAATAACATTTCGAGATATTTGTTTATATCCCTGGCTTTCGTTCAGCATACGGCTATAGATATACACAGATTCGCGCCCCCCGTGACCCTATTAGCTCACAGGAGCTGAAACTTCACAATTCTTAGAACTCCAGAAAGTGTTTGAAAACTATTCACAATCGAAGTGATTCCTAAATGTGAAAATCTAAAACACTACTAGGACGGCTCTAAAGAGGTGCGACGTGGCCTAAAGAGTCCCTGAAGCAGTCGAAGAATTTTCACCCAGTCAGAACCTGATGGAGCCTCCTAGAATATCAACAAGGCATACTGCGATTGGACGATAGCATCACTTGCCTCCTTGTGGATTGGCTGAGCTATAATGATGTTATAGCTAACGCTAATAACTAAATATACCCTTGCTTTCTACACAATTCTGATTCGTACCCCAATAATTGCTTCGCCTGTTTCTTCTTTCGGCGAGACTAATTTAGGGACGACCTTTGAACGAATCTTAAATGACCTTGATAATTATTGGCCAATCACAAGATAGTTAGTATAAAGTGAAAATATCTTATAAGAAAGTAGTGAATTATAGTGGATATTCTTCTTTTACATGATTTAAAAACTTGTTAAGGTTTGAGAAACGTTCAGAGGTTCTGAAATCATATGGCAGAGAAACTCGTCCATTGGGTTAGGGTTTAGGGTTAGAGTTAGGTTAGGGTGCTAACACACGATCGGTTTACAACGGATTTTAGAGAAGAGGTGTTTATTGAGAGGCTACAACCTTAACCTAAACCCTAACCCTATGGACGAGTTTCTATACCGTATGCATTATGAATTCAGAACTTCTGAGCCTTTATCAAACCTTAACAAAATTTTTAATCATGTAACAGAAGAATATCCACTGTAATTCATTACTTTCTTATAATATATTTTTACGTTGTACTGTCTTCTGATTGGCTAATAATTGAAAATGCTCATTGCCTCATCCCTAAATTAGAGTCTCACCGTCTTATCTGTTGTAACCTTGTAACAGCTTAGGTTGGTTGGTTGAGAGTTGACCCCAAACAACTAAGCATATGCCAAAACAGTATTGTTCAAGTATTCATTCACTTCCTTATTTTTTATAAGCGTTATATTCCCTATTATCTTATATTAAATGTTGAGAGCCTTTGTTTGTCTGAACAGATAATTCCACGCTCCACTGTGACTGCGCGAAGATCGAAATAAAGACCTATTCACTACTTCTCTGGTTTCTTCTATCAATAGCACGAGGGTTACCTTAAGGCACGAAAACCTCTCATTAATCACCTCCTCTTTAAAATCTGCTGTGAACCGATCGTATGTTAGCATCGCGTATTGAACTTGGCCCCGTGACCTTGAAGCTACTCAAACGCTTCTGATTGGCTCGTCCCTAAATTAGAGTCTTCAGTCTTCAGTAATAAGGATAGTAGGTTAGTGAACCTGTATTAATCCTGACACATTGCTTCCCAGTGAAGCTCCAGCTACTCCTTGAAAACATTCACTGATGGGGCTGATACCACTTGTTCGGGTAAGGCGTTCTAACCATTTACTACTCGATGAGAAAAACGGGACCCCACTCTAAGTTTATTAAATCATGGTTTATGAACCTTCTTGCTATAACCTCGGAGATTATTAGTGCTGGAGGGAGCAAAAAGATAAGACATATTAACACCCAAATCATAATTTAAGATACGAAATGCCAGTATAAGGTCAACTCGTGTCCTACGATACGACAAGGGGAAAATGTTTAGGGGTTTTAAACGCTCATCGTAAGGGAGCCAATTAGTCAGTAACAACGTAGAACTTCGTACGTACGTACATCAGTTCGAGTCTAGGAAGACCCTTCACTATTTTCGTTCCCACACGCCGGACACGCTCAAGGGAGTTAGTATCCTTTACCAAACACGGGCTAGCCGCTTGGATACAGCACTCTAAATGTGGTCCTACATATATGGGGTATAAAATTCAAAACGTTTCCTCGTCAAAAGATTTGGACGCTCGGCGAAGTGACCATAACGCACGAAAACCTTTGACAGCGGCTGCCTTGCAATGCGTAATTGTTTTTAAATCATGACTTGATACTATTCCGAAGTCTTTATACTCTTTAACGCATGGAAGAGGTTTACCCTCAATAGTATGACGGTAACTATTACCGTGACCGATGTGCATTAGCACACTCTTCCTACCATTGATTTCTAAGCCCCACTCTCGAGCCCATCTAACTAAATCGTCTAAGTCAACTTGATGATCCAGATGATCAGCCGCCTTTTTTATTGTTCTCCAGATTTTTACATCATCCACAAACAATAATGTCGACGACCTAAGCAACAGAGGTAACTCATTAACGTAGAAGGAAGAACAGAGAGCCTAAGATGGTGAGTTAGAGTACACCACTTTTGACCGGCTTCCATTCGGATAGCGTTCCGTTGACCCTCACTCTCTGTCTGCGGTCACATAAGAAATTTCCTATCCACTCATGTACAGTACCTATTATTCCGAAGCTCGTGAGTTTCTGCATAAGACCTACATGTGTAACCTTGTCAAATGCTTTGCTAAGATCTATGAATATCACATCAACAGACAGACTGTTATCTAGGGCTGCTGCCTAATCCTCCCTCTCAATAAGCAAGTTAGTCAAGCGTGAACGCTTGTTACGAAATCCGTGTTGCTCAGGAGCTAACAGATTGTGTAAATCTATGTGGCTTAGCAACCTAACCCGAACTATCTTTTCAAGTAACTTAACGATTATGCTAGTTAGACTGACAGGCCGGTAGTTAGATACTATCTGTCGCTGACCGTCCTTAAATATAGGACTAACTATAGCGTCCTTCCAATCTCTAGGGAATTGAGCGAGTGAAAGGGACATGTTGAAGAGTGTCGCAAGCGGTTTTGAAATAATGTCCGCAAGAAATAATAGCAACCTTGGACGTAACCCGTCAGGGCCCGGTATCTTACCAGGTTTGAGGTTGGTTATCAACGGAAGGACAGTTTCCTCAGTAAGCTGTACAGATTCAATGGTTGGTATCTCGGTGTGAGTGGGACAAGTATTTGTTACAATAAACGTAGAGTAAACTTCGCTTAAATAGTTTGAAAAAGTCTCAGCTTTTGCTCGATCTGATTCAGCTAGCAAATCTGAATTTTCGTGTAACAGTAACGGGGAATAACATCACGACGTTTCATTCGCCGTTTAACATACGAAAACAATCGTTTCGGACAAGTACGGCTATCATATACTAACTGTCGTTCGTAAGTGGTACGGGATTTGGCTATGTTTTTCTTACAGATATTACGGAATTTCTGGTACTCACGCTTAAATGGTGAATGACCTGTCAACAAGAATAAGTCCCAGAAATGTTTCCTACGCTTTAACAGCTTCCGGGTTTCCTTAATAATCCATGGAGGGTAATGTGATAGCTTACGTGCTGACCATGGGATAAACGGCGACGTTACGGACTCGAATGTAGCCTTAAACGTATTTCATTCTTCTTCGATCAGTCCATCCGCGTCGACCGACCAATCAGTCGAGATAGCACAGTTTCTGATTTCCGGAATATGGGCTCGCCAGATATTGAGACGGGGTGGAGCAGATTCCAATTGTATACCATGTGTCCTAAACTTAAAGTGAATTAGGACGTGATCACTGTTCACTAGTCGGGGAAGGTGCTGAATATCAAAGACATCCTCACAGTGGTGGGTGAGGGCGAGGTCCATCAGTGACGGATCATGTTGCAAATCAATATGTGTCGGTTTTGTGATACATTGTACAAGTGCACACCGAATAACGGTAGATAAAAGGTCGCTATGGAAACCACCGCCTGGAGCTGTAAGCTCTATCCAGTTGATATGCGGTGCGTTGAAGTCCCCAATGATGAGACAACATTCCGCCATACCCCAAGAACAGATGTGTCTTAGGATAAAGTCGTCAGCAAGACAAAATGGACTGCGGTATATTCCCCCTATATTCACTAACCCATTCCTAGATTTAATCTCACAACATGCAACCTCACATGTGCCACTGATATGAGCCTCCAATATGGTTGATTGTATACAAAAGTGATCCCTAACGTATAATATTATACCTTCCCCTTTGCGACTTGAAACTCTATCACTTCTAATACAGATATAGCCTGCAATGAAAGGAGAACAGTCCGTATCAACGGTGAACCCAGTTTCTGTAACAACGATTATATCGGGACATGATTCTTCCACCATCAGACTTAGCTCGGACCTTTTATTTCTAAGACTACGAGCGTTCGTGTAGCACACACTTAAGGTGTTTTGGCAATCAATCGTTCTACCCATACAGGCCTCGGAAGCATTGGCTTCCAAGACCTGACTACCCGAAAACCCTTAATGGTAAGGCTATTTTCGCCATTTAGTTTTTGAGTCCTCAACTCCGTATGAGAATTCTTCCACTTGATTCGATCCTCAAGCGGCCAATCTGGTCGAATACGGATATTTGAGTCACGAGTTTTTGGTGCGTTTTTCAATAATATGTCTATTTCTTCAAAACTCCCGAGAACCAGCTTCAGGATTCTTCTTGGTTGGGTCTCGCCTCCAACCCATTTACCAAGTAGTATTACTTTTGTAATATGTGCCCCTGAACCCTCTTCAGGTAGTACATTCCTTACCACAGACTCCACTAACTGCAGGTCATGTGCATGTCTTCTAGCATGGTCGTTGTCTTTCGACTCCTCTAGATTCCAAATAATTAAACTAGGGAGGGATTTGCTTCTTTTGAAACTGTGTTCACAGCTTTCGACCGTGACGTTAGATCCTGTATTTTAACTACTGGTATCTTACGATTAGTTTTTATTGTAACAGAGTCCTGGGAGTCGAGCGAGCGACTCACAACAATGTTAGACGAAGCTTTACCATGTGAATGTGGCTGAGTGGTCTAAGAGTCCACCAAGGACTTATCAAGTAAACGGTCATTAGTTTTAGCTGTCTTTCCTTTTCTTCTGCGTTTCCATGTCATCCATATTCCATCAGTCGTAGCATCCACATTAGAACCACCCGGGACAGTAATTGTTTTATCTGAGTCACCGGTTGCTGCTGTAGCAATATGGCCACAAATATCTAATGAGGTGTCACTCATTGATTGTTTCGGGGTAAACGGTTTAATAGCGGGTTGCACAGTTAGATGTCTGGCTTGCGCCGTGACAGCACTCACGACATTAACGCAATCTTTGCCATCAGTACCGATGTTGCCAGTACAGCCCTCATCAACCTCCTTATTAGCCAACACCAAGAGATTAATTGCTTCCTGGATAAGCAATGTTTTGCTCGAGCACCAAAAACTACAAAGCCAATGAGAGTTGGGCTTTGAGCACCTTTTATATTCAGTGGGGCTTAATCGGGTGCACATCTTATGGGACCACTTATTACACTCACCACATTGCATCCCTTCCTCCACGGGAAATAATCAATATGGTTGTCCACATTTGTGAGCAGAGCTAGCCATCTTGAAAATCAACTAGAACGGTGACAAGAACAGGATATGTAAAAGGACTCTCAAACCTTAACTAAATAAATCAAGTAAAAGTCGACTAAGTATGCTTCGATGCAATAGATACACAAAAGCAAAATCGAAACACCCAATACAATATCACATTAACTGGGGTAGATGCAATTAAAGTGTAAACAGTAGTTTTGATGCGTAATTTACGATCAAAACAGTTAATTAACTCAACGAGAAACAATACCACTGTCCTTATAAATAGAGCGCGTTATTTATCGCCCTTCTGTCTTGTGATTTGAGGTCTGTGAGTTATTACACGTTCGAGTTCCGTTAGTTGTATATCGTATTCTGAGATAATCAACTAGAGGACGTACCAAGCGCACTGATAGTCCCCTCCTATTATCCGAGTATTTTGACATAATTATGCGATATGAAGTACACTCTAGGTTCATAATTATTTTCTGATATTACCAAGAACATGGTAAAATATCTCCAGAACCTGGATCCATCAGTATTTCCTTTAGAAATAAGGGCTTTTTACTTGAATTTCTTTATTGAATTATGAATGGTGATGAACGTGTTTTTACTATCATTTACTGCCACCATATAGAAAACCTAGTAGCTCAACGACTTCTAAGTAGCTTTTGCCACTCTGAAAGTTTTCGTGTATCCAACAATGATGCTCAACCTACTTTCTGAAAAAAATACTAGTTGTTTAAGAGGGTCACTCATGCATCATAGTTATGTTTCAGAAAATCTAAAGCCAGACGTATTTTCTACTCTCGATGATCGAATCAGTAGACTTGCATTCAGCTAATCTTCATTTCTGTTTAAATGTCTTTCCGCTCCGCATGATTTTCCTTATTTATCCAATAAGTAGCAATGGTAACTAGGATTATTCGGTTTGATTTGCTGAATAACAGTTTCAAAAATAGTCTGATTCAAGATAGACAGGACTTGGTGAGCCCAAATGATTGTATTATATTTACAATTCAACTTAATGACGGGACAAAGTAACTATCAAATTTAAAAAAATACCAACGAGCCTCATGCCACTAAGTACACATTCCTATGTTTTAACTCTCCATTGTATTCCTATTTCTAGGGAGAGACAAAAGAGCCGATTGCGATTTCAATTTATTAAACACAAATTGTCGATTTCAGAGGTGAAGTAGCCACACAACCTACCATCAGCCTAAAAGTTTCAAAGTCCACCTCGCTAGTCTTCTGACTTTTTTTATAGTTCAGATAGGCTTAAAATACCGTTAGACGTCATAGTCTTCTAAACATAGAATCCATAATAATTTGTAAAGTTCTATCTAGGCTTCTTAGAGTAGTTAGCCCACGGTAATACCGCAGTGTATCTTCGTAAAGTCTGTAAACAGATGTCTCAGGATCTTGTATAACGACGAGCCCATCACAGAAATATTTGTTACTTAAGTTCTGTGCTGTTTTTCTTGTTGTATATGATTATTCCGTAGAGACAATGGAGGTTACCTTGTACAAACACCGGAATTTCATTTTCCCCTACAAATAAATCATGATTCCATACTGATGCATAACAGTATTGTAATGCGTGTGACGTTCTCTCGAAACAATTTATAGTCATAAATCCACTTCGTACATTTAAAACTGGTGCCTGTTTCAGCGTAGCCATGCAGCGAATCGGTAAGTATTTGATATTCATTTCGAGGATAAAAACAATGCCAGTAGAAAGGGAGGCGAGACATTTTATTTGATCATGATTAATGATAATTGTTAGTGTATTCGTATGAGTTGTTGTAACTCTCCTTCAGAACAGTTCAAGGCAATAGGGCTTCGTTTTCCGTAAAAAGTACGTTTGTACACGCCTCACGAAGTCTTAAATGAAACACCAACCATAGTTTAGTTCGTTTTCTGTATTTTATGAAATACTATTTGGAAGCACTAGTAGAAGTGACTATTTTCAAGACCACGGAATTTTAATTACGTAGCCTCAACGAGATGACAAAGAGAGAAATGATCGACATTATCACAAGTCTTTTCGAGATCGAATAATATCGATTAGGGACGAACACAGTTTGACTCAGAAAACAATGATCCAAACCCATCATGAATAAAAATCTACGCAACCCAGCAGCCAATCCAGTAATTACAATTAAGTTTCCACACCTATATGATGAAGACTGGAGGTCAATGCAGGAAATGTCGTCAGAAACACGTTAAGTCAGGGCCTTGGAACATAATGCGTCCTGTAAGTTGAATTCCAATGTGTCGCATTAGTTAGTATGCTTCTCTGTTATGATTACCCATATCTATATATCAAATAATTTTCCAAGACATAATAATGCTATAAATTACTGTCATATTGACAGGAGATAAGTTCTATTTCAAGTGAGATATGTGGTATGAATCAACTGTAGTATCAAGACTTAGTAGGCGATCAATCAGTTTCAATGTTTTTTGTCGTGTTTCCTAATAAGTTTAATTTCCCACAGAAATACGCTTCTTTCAGTGAACGCTTTCACCACCAACCTTAGAAAACTCGGTTACTGTTTCTAGGAGCATCTTGTTTAGTAAGTATCCAACGTAGCCTAGCTTCCAGGTCCTTGTGAATTTGAGTTTGGTTGAACCCTTACTTCTGTACTACCGATTCGGAGGCTGCTCAAGAACTTGTTCATAGTTAAACTAATTTTAAAGTCTTTAAAAAATTTTGAATCCGACTCTGATACCAGTGTTTCTGAAGGGCCATGAAGCTTCTAAATAAATCAGCTCTGTTATTTCAAGTCACGAAACCATTTTATAATTCAGTACACCTGATGCATCCAAGACATTTTTTCTAAGCTTTATGGAATTCTGAATCAAAGTTGACGATGACGTTAACAGTGTCCTCATCTGAAAGATCCTCAGTGTTTCTAAAACTTCTTGTTCACACGAACATTTTGGGACTGATTGTTCTTATTATGAAGGGCAAACCTGCGAGGCAAAATAATTTGCATGACCGACATAAGTGCAGTCTGTCAGTTGGGAGTTTCCACGAAAACCTGGATAATCATGAGACTTAAGTAGGTTATTAGACTTAAAACTACTATGTATATTACATATCTTGTCATAGTATTCAATTCTTCTTTTGTGTATTCCAAGCCACTACAATGTCTTTGTGTGAACAAATTATTTTTATACCATTCCAGTGATAGAAAAATGTAAAAAGCAATCAATTTTATGAACAAAAGAATAAACATACTGTACATCTTTCTAAGTGAACTCTTGTCCCATCACATGAAACAAAACAAATGTAGTGAAAACAAAGTTCTTTTACTTTTTTCTAGAATATATTCATACTATTAAAACTCTAGGGAGATATCCTGGAGATAATGAACTAATAATGGTTACGGATATATGAACAGCCTGATGGCTATATATATATATATATATATATATATATATATATATATATATATATATATATAAACAAATTAAAGTAATCGAATTCACATCAAAGTAAAAACTAATAAATTGTTTATATGCAAAGGAAAAACATAGTGATAGTCATAATAATAATAACAATAATAATAAGTAATACTAGTGTTGATGAAATAGTCACAGAAAAACAAAAGAAAATGACTGGTAAAATTTAAGTCAACGCATTAATTGAACATTTTGATAATAATGACGAAAGTAAATCATTTTATATATACAGTCCTCATGTTGTAGATACTAAATTGTCAACAACTATATATATAAATGTATGATATACTTTCACAGTGTAACAACAGCTAGAATAACAGAAAGAAATATATCATTTTGAAAAGACAATAATGTAAATATTAACAGTTCATTTAATAACGATAATGAAAGAACGATATTTTTAATCACTTGTCAAAAGTCGACATTATACGAAGAAGAAGAACTAGGACAATAGAAATGAGTAAAACGATCTATAGAGCTACGACACGTTAATATGCATATTATCATATGCTACTTGTTACACAGAAAATATGTATATACATAAAATAATAAGTCAATAATGAATGTGAGTGCATGAAATTACATGATACAGTAGAGAGGACAATGCGCAAACTAGGTTACCTTAACAGAAATTATAAATAATTTATTTGTTTTACACGGGTTAGTTTCCTTTGAATTAAAAAAACTTTGAGAATTAACATGTTCACAACAGCCTGAGACAGAATACAAACAAGAAGGTTATATATATCTATATATCTGGAGTACTTCAATATTCAGATGATAAATTAATCTGTTTAGCGGAATAGATCAGTAGGCATTCTTGTGTAGTATTCACAATATTGTTAAGAGGTGAAAAACAAGCAATAAATGAAGAATTGAATAAATACATATATCATAACTCAAATAGAATAATGTAAATATGAAAAGCTTCGATAGACAAACAGTGAATGATGATAAATGATGATCAACATAACGCACTAAAAATACTTACTTACTTACTTACTTATGACTGTGATCCCCTCCTCGATGAGCATAGGCCATTCACCAACATTCTCCATCCAACTCTAACCTGTACAATCCTTTCCAGTTCTTCCACTTGCTATTCATTCTTTTCATGTCTGCTTCCAATTCTCTACGCAGTGTGTTATTTGGCCTTCCTCTTTTCCGTTCCCCTTCAGGATTACAAGTTAGCGCTTGCCTCCAGATGTAATCTGATGATTTCCTCAATGTGTGTACTATTCACTTCCAAAGTCTTTACCTAGTTTCCTCTACAACTGGAACCCAGTTTGTTCTCTCCAACAATAGGCTGTTGCTGATGATATCAGACAACAAACATCCAGTATCTTGCGTAGACAGTTGTTCATAAATACCTGGACCCTTTTCATGATGGTTGTGGTAGTTCTCCACGTTTCAGCTCTGTAAGTTCAAATCGTCTATTTGCATACAACCTGTCCGTTTAATTCCGTGCTTCCCTTCAGATTAGAACAACACATATAAGATGTCGTGGTTTTCATAATCCAGTCGACCATCAGTAGTGTGATGCCTTTGCAGTTCTCACATTTGCTCAGATCTCTTTTCTTTCGTATCTTGATGAGGTATCCTTCTTTCCAGTCCGTCGGCACTTGTTTCCCCTCCACCCAAATCTTCCTAAATAGAACTAGGAGTATCTTTGCAGTTAATTCTATGTCTGACGCTAGTGCTTCGGCTGATATATTGTCAGGTCCAGCTGCATTCCCACTCTTGATATCTCTGATTGTCATAATTTCTTCATCACTTGATGGTGAAGTGACATCTATAGGAATATCTGTAGGTGCTACCTCGATATCCAATGGAGCTGGTCTATTAAACAGTTCCTTGATGCATTCCACCTATCTGTTTATCTTGAATTCCAGTGACTGGCTCACCCTCTTTGTTTTTGACCGGTCTCTCTGGTTTACTGTATATTCTTGTCAGTTTCTTCGTCGTGTCGTGTAGTTGTTTCATATTTGCTTCTCTTGCAGCTTCGTCTGCTGCTAGCTCTTCCACGTATTTCTGCTTATCGGCTCTAATGTTCTTCTTTACTTGCTTCTATGCTTTGATGATCCTGGATCCGTGAGATTTCCATCCTGTAAGTGCTTTTCGTGCTTCTTTGGACAGCATCAAGGCAACTCTCTGAGTGTGCTAAGAATTTACTTTTTCATGGCCAGAATACAACAGCATCTTTCCTAAATCTATCCTTTTCTGTTCAGTTTGGGTGCAATGGGTTTCGTTGATTATGAGAACCGCAAAGTTGTATCTCTTCATTTTTTGTTGCTATTTGACTGATTCTCCCGGTCTCCAACATTGTCCGGACAATCCATGTACTAATAAAAATTGTTGTTCTAGTGTGAGGAGCATAGGCCTCGTGACTTCTGAAGAATCTCGGCTTTCATCATAAGGGTTCATAATTCTTCCTTGAACTCGGAGAGCAGAGTTTAAGTAGTTCAAAGTATTTATTCCGGTTGGTGTTCTTTAGCAACGTTGTTTTCTACGGGATGGGGTTGCCGATCCCACACCCAACTCTCCTCCTTTATCCAGGCTCGGGACTGGAGGTAGCCCTAGAAGAGTTAGAGGCGGAGTTGGTTCCAAACAAACTACACTTAATTCATACATTAATGAATTAAATGAAAAAATCTTAGAACCCGAGTTATTATAATAGAATTCATCAAATTAAAACATATGACAGTAGAAAATGTACTTATTCCTGTCAACTTGTCGGTATGATTCTTGAAAAGAAAGAAAGTATTCCAATGAGAAAATATCAAACTGTAAATAGTCCACCACTTTAGATAAAGAATACTAATAATTGTTTTTTTAATGACGACGGAAGTCTTCAAACATAAAAAAGATCTCAGCTTTTAGTTTTTTTGTCTAGTTGGTTAACTAACTTATTTTCGATTTACTAGCAAAGTGCTGCAAAATGAGGTATAATGTAATATTATCCTAAATAGCATATACATCTTATGAAAAAATCTCAAAAAAATCTGTTGCCAAACTTTCAGAAGAATCATAAATGAAGCAAGGTCAAAAAGTCTTCGACAGCTGAATTGGTAAACACATCTTGATTGTTAGAAGTTAGTAAAGAAATCATCTACTAAATGTGGAAAAATAGTGTCAATTGTCAGTTGGGAGAGGTAGAAATCATCCCCATAACGATGTGAATGAAGTGATTATGATTTTGGTTTGGATATTAGGAAAGATACTAAACCGAGATTTCAATAACAGCAGAGCACTTTCGAAAGGTAACATTTGATCCACTATCTGTCTAAATTAACTAAACTTCGGGAAAACGTATATATATATATATATATATATATATATATATATATGTACACACACATTCCATAATTGAAATAACATTATACAGATTGTATTGACTTACAGTTAGTGAGTTGGGAAGATATAAGGCACTTATGTGTGTAAGTGCAAAGTAAAAGTATGAATACAAAATAACTTGATGTAATCGTTTGACTTGTTAGTATTTATAAGATATTTTGTTGCCGTCGTAACTGTAGCACTTGTTGAAGGAACTAAAAATAAAATTAATTAAAACGAGAGTTTTAAAAGACAAGCTATGGGCAATCAATGTCAAATTTTCCTAAAACGTTTAGCTGTTAATTCTAAACAATTAAGAATCTATCTAGATAACCAGTTCATTAATTAAAATTTTTCAATGTTTACTATAACTACTCAGTCTATTAGATTGGAAGGCAAATTTTTATGAAATGAAAAATCTTGGTAACTAATATAATACAACGGAATGCACGTCAGGTTAATAATGCTTCAAGGAAACAGAAACGGAAGATTACTTCATCTAACGAACTTACTATATGCCCATCAGGAAAACGAACATTAAACACTAAATATTTCGAAATTCGAATAGGAAAGTAAGAGTCAGATAAAAACGAATTTACTTTCGACAGCATAATCACGATACAGTTAGTTGGTGATAGGTAAAGCCAGTGGCTTTTATCAAGGACGTTTAGTGTAGATAATTCATATGGTAGTTCACTAGTGTGGAGCATTCAAATTTAGCTCTCCAGATCAATCTAAAATTTTACCGAAGTAGCATGTTAGTACTTGTTTCTAATTCACACTTCAAGGGAGATGCAGGTTTCATGACTTCATTAGGACTGAAGATTTAATAGTTATTTATCATCTAAACTGTGGTGTTTAGAGTAGCTTGAGATTAGTTGGACTGTCTATCATCGTTCTACTGATTAATCTATTTGTTGAGTTCAAACATAGGTCATTAGTTCTCTGTTAGTGATAGTTTTGTTACCATGATAGATTTGGAAAAATTATCTAGTTATTTTTCTTATAGTTTTTTATATGAAATGAACACACTGTCCAACATTGGTCACGGTTATTGAGTAAGTATTTTGTCAATCAATATTTAGACATCTTTTGTTACTTGTTGAAGCCTACACACTAATGAAATGAGTTATTGATGATTCACTAAATTTGGAATTGACGAGATTCACTGATCCAACTTAACGTACTGCCGGAGGTTGCTAATAGAAAGTCGCTAATAAGTAGCTTATAGAAATTTATAAAAATGATGATGATTATCATATTAACGCAATTAGGTATAAAAAATAATTGAAGAGAAGTTTTAACGAGGTCAAGAAAAAAGGTGGACTGGGGACTTAAAATACACATGTAACTGGAATCTTATCAACAGATATCGTATTAGTGTGTCATTTGGAACCAAAGATCATAAAAATTGATTTTTTTCCCGTCATTTCTTGAAAGTCATGGTGGATGAGGTGACACCATAATGTTAAGATGTGGTTCAAAAAATTACTCAATATGAATACTGTAGTATATGCGACCAAACTTCCTGACGTTAGCTGGTCACCAGAACAATATAATGAAATAATTTGAGATCATACTTGTATGTGTATTTATTGATGTCTTGTAAGAAAGCACAGGATCAATCTAAGAAATTAGTGCAAAATCACAAATCGAATAATTGCTTCAGCAAAACTGTGTAAGTACTAACCAGGAGTGAGGACGGTTATGGTTCATCGTCTCCCATTCTTAGATAAGGAAATAATCACAGACAAAGGATGAAATAGTGACGGACGTCACCTATTTAGAAAAGAGACTTCAGAAGTACTGTATTGAAATAGAATAAAGTGGTAGTGGTGATAAGATGGAAACCAGTTCACCCACTGGATCCAAAATGGAGAATTATGAACAAGATGTTCAAATTCAGACAAATTTAATTTATTTCAAAATAATTTCGATGTAAGCTATCAAGTAAAGTGTTAATATAAACAATTGGGACAGTAAGTCGAGCTACTGTATTAAAATTAATTCATTTCCACTTATATATAAACCAAGGTCTCTTGAAAATAAATACTTGGTCAGGAAAACGTTATACTCAAAGAAAAACGAAGTACTAAAATTATCAAAGGTATAATTTCCCCATACTATTAAAAATGGGTTCATCACTATCAATTCCACGGATCTCCTATGCACTAATGTGGTGTTTGTGTGAACTAATGATTCCTTTGCACTTGATGACTGCCTCGATTCGAATTCGAAATACAAAACGTTTGTTTTTGCTCACCGAATTCTGTTTACTTAGATTACTTCCCGGTTACCCACATCATGGAAGGGTTCTTCTAGAGGTACCTAGATAGGAAACTGGGTTAGAGTTGGTCTTATTGGCCTGACAGGGTGACCCCAGTGTCCAAGGGACAAATACATGAGGCCTTTTTGTGGGTAGTTTTTGTGTTAGCTTCGCATTAGTTGAGACCTTGCCCCCGGAGACGGATATCCGTGAGGTAAGGCGAGGTGTGCATTTTAAGGTCGACCTTTTCTAACCCCAACCTTCTTCAGAAGATAGGAAACATCACTATCATGCTAGTTGTCTAAGGGAAACACTTTACTACCGACACACTTTTGTACAGTCGGCAGTACGATTTAGCCCTCAGACCTTGGGGTTTGCTGATTTTAGTCTTACCACTCTTCAATCGACTTGCCTGACATAGTAGGACCTTGATAAACGAATGTTCAAGCCGGTGTAACCCGATTGCTTCATCGCGCTAGGCAAGCCCAATCAACAAGTCAAGGTAACAGCAACGGTTGGGCCATAAGAAATTACAAGAGAATAATGACATTGTTAGTAGATTATAAAATGAATTAAAATAAAGTATAACAATTTGATTGTTTAAATTATTAACCGTAACCATAACTCACGATGGGATATTACCACTACTAAATTTCCAAAGAGAAATTGAGTGAGTAAAGTTTATAATTGTTCATTCCCACTCATATACTTAACCAGTTAATAAGGTAGCGAGTGAAATAGAAAATAAGCAATCACAAATATTTTGGCAAGTGTTATTTGAAAGTAAAATAGAGAATAAACCCTACTCATAATGAAAAAGACAACAAACAATAAGGACCAGTGTCTTTTCTATTCATCTAATTTCAAGATAATTTAATTATTCCATTTTGAATAATAAAAATGTTTACTTATAAAAAAAACTTACATAGATAATCATGGCAGAACCACCTTGAACTATTGGTTCAGGTAAAGCACGTAATGGACAACTTTCTAAATTCAATATAATCAATTTTCCACATAGTGAGAGTTCAGCAGGTAAACTATTCAAATTCGGATTATTATTCAAATGTAGGTCGTGAAGTGTCGGTATATTACCTAAACGAAAAAGATAGAAAAAAACGGTCAGACAAAAAGTACTTAGAAAAAGAACAACCGATAATGTTAACAAAATAGACAACAGAATTGAAAATGTCATATAGATAGAATTAATGTTATTATTAATCTGAAATGATTAGTGATTATTATACTTAAAGTATCAAATAGGATATAGCTGAAATCGCTACGCTGATAAACTTTGGAAAGATGTATACCAACTGAATGCATACATTTCTAAAAGGCTAAGAATAAAAGCGTTCAAAAATTGAAACATAAGCCAATAATTTTATAAATTAATACATAATCTAAATCTGATCATTCTGCAATTAATTTTTCGTAATTTCAAACTACAAGAATGGGTTTATAAGATGAAAGAAATCGTCTCATTACAGCGAATCGAAATCTATATTTTGAAAGGTGATACAGCTCGATTTGATAGTCACATAATTGAACGGATCCAAAAGCAGTTTATCTACCTTTCTAAAGTTAGATAACAGACATGATCTCAGAAAATAAACTATTTACCATGACTTATTTCATCTTTTTAATGTAAGCTAATTGATAGACATTCTGACCTGTTCTGGAGAATACACCTGATTATCATATTTTAATTAACACTAATCACGAGAGTGATTGTTAATTATCCACATCAAAGGTATTTAGTACGATTAACAAACTTAATTCCATATGGCAAAATATTGCCGAAGTTCTATGACGTTCACATAAAATCGAACTCATCTACTCACCGGTTAACATAGATTATATGATCTACAAGTTTTTTCACTAAGTAGGTCGCATTACTATACCATAAACAGATTATAGCAGCTGAATTATATACAGAGATGATTAATCGAGTCAGAAATTAAAAACTGCGGGTCGATAGTTTAAATATGATTAGAACAGTTTTCCTCTGATCCTAGTTGTTATCCAATTTGATAATTTAGATTTTATTAAATCTACCCTATAAAGGATGGAGCATACAAATGAATTTACTTAAATTGAATATCTAATGAACCGAATGTACTAAATTTTACAGATCTATTGAGAAATATATCAGATTATGAATTTCTTTGTAAATGTTGAACCTAATCAAATTAAACATTTAACTACCGATTTTAAAGAGTCAAATCTTTTATCGAGTGATAGAAAATTGTGGATTGTTATGTCCCTAACTTATACGACTATCGCGAGTACGATTGCCAAATGAGATACGCTGACTCATACGACAAACAAATGACGCATACATCTGAACGAACGAATTCGAGTCTCGATTGGCTTTTTTCCTTGCCTGTTAAGTCCAGAACACTAATATCAGCCTCCGCGATATTAACCATATATTTCAAACATACTGGGTTTATGTACAAACCAGACAGACCACATCGCACCATAAATAAAAAACAACATTTGTACAAGATCAAGTCAAAAGTGGGTGTGATTGTGAGAGACTGTAATCAATAAACTGGGCATGACTTAAGAATAGTAAATCATAAAATAATGGTCTACAGGTCAAAATAAAGTTTATAAGAGGAATATAAATATCTATAATCTAGTTACTTAACGCTTATACAATAAGAATATATGTAGGGTATTGGACCATAAATAGATCCCACAGTTAGCTTTCATTATTCTCGTCGGGATATAAAACGGATAATTTTGTTTTAGACCATAAGAATAGGAGGCTCATACAAAAGAATATTATTTCTGAAAAATATGAATGAAATTCACCGTCATAATCATGATGTCAAATATTATTCTTGTTTTTAGTGTTGTTGAGTTCTGTAAGCTAAGTTGTTTAATTATAGAGAACTCACTGATGTTGTCAACAGCACCAGGGCTCAGTTCTTAAATTCTATCGGAAAGAGATACTGATGATGTTGTCCAGAACGTCAAACAAAACGTCACAATTAAATCATCCAGTTCAGAGGACTAAATAACACCAAAATTTTCCATAACAACCTCAAATATTCACCATGTGTATTCTGTTTTGGCGCTAAAGTAAAAATGCTCGAACTTGTAAAACTTCACTTGATCAAACAAGATGTTCAATTATATTTCGTCTTTTGTTGATTTAAAACCTAATTTTTTGATGGGATTTGATTTACATCAGATAACTAACAGCACACTGCAGTAACATGTAATATTGGATTATTATCAGAATGGGAGTTTGTGGAGATCTTAATAATTTAATGGCTGAATTCACCAGTCGATTTAAGCTAAGATTAAAATTAAAAACTAGACAGGATCAAATATAAAGTATATTGATCCATTTTTATCGGTTTGTAGTTTAAGAATTTACAAAAGCCGCAACATTATCTTGATTCATGAGTAGATATAACTGATTATTAGGTAACTTTATGGCAAGCAATCTACGAGTTCATAACCCAATGTCCCCAGATGCACTTCCACGACATACTAAAAGTTCGTATACGCTTATAAGCTGAAAATTTTGCCAGGATTATTTGCATTGTTGTTTAAGGATGATTTACCACCAAGATTTCTAGCATTTTTCCATGTTCACTAACTGAATATACCACCCAGTAATCGCTTTTCATTTTATGGTTTTGTAAGAAACAAACTCAGTTTAAACAGAGCGGGTAGAAATTAGTTAATGCAATCTCATGAAAGTAATCCTAGTGACAAAAGGAGGAGTTTATTAATCACTGTCATCTGAATATGACTAACAATATTAAAGAAAGAAACGACTATTAATTATGGTGAACAAAACACGCATATAGTACGGCCTTAAGGATCTGAAAGCACCAAACATTATACTCAAGTAAAGTATGCAAAACATATTAGAAACTAAGGCTAACTGGTCGAATTTGCCACGGACTAGTTGGCTAAGCTAAATACCTTTATTTGTGATATTAATGTAGTAGGATAAGTGATAGAAATTTAAGCCAATATTGAATAGTAAATGGTAGACAACAAGAAGCGTGTTTATATTATAATTCATACAAAAAATGTCATCTTCACGTGCTTCAGTTTTGTATACAATAAAAAATGTCATTTTAATAGATAGAAAATAGAAAAAAATCAGCTGGTGGTAACTCAATTGTCGTAAAATTGTAAACATGTCTCCAGATATATGAAGCTATATGACTTCCCAAACTGTGAACCTAGGCGATGCGGGTTCGAATCCCACACTGAACACCAGTTACTTTAAAGCTGCTGATGAGTGCATGGAGATGAGTTCCAAAGTTTCCTGCCGACTACCTTCAACCATATAATATCCAAACGATAAGATAATTTTATAAATTAAATAAGTATATATTATGTAGATTAGATATCAGTCAGTAAATGATAAAAGAAAAGAATCAAGTAATTTCTCATTCTGCACATATGTACAGTCAGCTATAATAATTAATGTTATTACATTTAATAGAATACATATATTAGTGATATTGATATTTCGTCTATCTGTCAACTGTAAGCAAACCAGTTCAATATGATTTTATTGGATATTTATAATATTCAGAAGAATGGAATTAAAAATGTATAGATGAATGTACAGTCGTGAATAGTACTTTACTACTATACACATTGTAATAGAAAACTGGACATTTTATTTACTGTGAACATGGGGAGTGGCTCCCTAAAAAACCACCTGCTTCGGTTTAGGCGTTCGAATAGTATCCCAGCCATCATATAAATCAAATGATTTGTGTGGCGTATATATATTTGGTGCCTCTTTGTACCAATGTTTATGTGTTTAAATAAATAAATAAAACTCTAAATATTGTTTTATAAACTCAAGAGGAAATTAGAGAGTTTTATTATCAATGGTTTATAATACTGAGAAACGATACTCTAGTTATTAAGCTACTCATTTATAACAACAAATTTGTGAATAAAGACAATAAAGGTTCATACACTGTTAAAAGCTTCTTAGTCACGATTCGCGTTGAATAATTTTACAAAGTGAACACTTGAACTAATATGGGAAACAAGGATTAATCATATTCAAATTTAAATGAATGCTCCAGCATAAATAAAACTTGATTTAATCTAATCGAAGGAATCAGTGATTTGGTGAAGCAGTATAATTTCCAGAATTGAACTGTACGGTTATTTTATGGAATATCGAACGACAAACGAGATTGTGATTAGGAAAGCACGAAAATTCATATATATATATATATATATATATATATATATATATATATCATCGTATTAAATTCCAACTCTATATTTTCTAAGTTTTATCAATTTGAGATAGAGTGAGACTTTTAGTTAATATCTGTTTCATTGACATTTTCAATGAACATTACAATTTCAAGTTAAAATATAACTCGGTAAAATATAATAACTGACTAAAGTTTCATTTAACAATATAATATCCATTTAACCTTAATTAGATTAATGCAAACGAATATAAATTTAAATAATACTTAAATATGTTACTATTACAGATACATAAATATATAATCAGCATATCATTATTATTACCATTATTATTATTATTATTATATCATTATTATTGTTATTATTATTACAATTGCAGTCACTTATTTATCCTACTGATTCAAAATGTATTTTTATTTAAAATTTATTACTGATAAATTGACATATTACATTTAAACTATGATGGTGGTATTATGTAAACTTTTTAAACAATACATTATTACTATTATTATTATTATTATTATTATTATTATTATTATTATTATTATTACTATGTAACATGAACAAAGGTTAACTATGTACATCATTTTGACTGATATTCATATGTTGATTAAATGTAAACAACATTCAATTGTACTCATCATTGAATGAACTAAAATAAAAAAATAATCAAGATGATATTGATATTATAATGAATTAATTCATTGTAATTTCCATAAGACATGAAATGAATGAGTATGGTACTTTATGATTCTCATTTTAAACAAGGATAATGGTGATAATTGAAGAAAAAAAACAATACAAACAGTGAGACTAGAATTGATGAACAAACTAATCAGATAAGATAAAATAATAAGTCTAGAATTTTGGTGTGA